GCCGCGGGGCGCGGAGCGGGCTCCGTTCGTGCGCTCGGGGCGTGCGCCGGCCGCCCGCACCTGTGCCCGCCCCGCGGCCGCCTCCGAGCCCGCAGAGCCGTGCGCTGAATCCGTGCGGGAAATCGCGTGCCCCCGAGCAGAGTGCGACGCCCGTCACACTCCGAGGTTATTAACATTAAATCATTTGTTTAATAATTGTTATGAATAAAAAGTTGCAGGTTTTTTTTTAAGTTTCAGAGTTAAAAACAAGTCAGACCCGTCAAACCTCTTTAGTTTCACTGCCAAAGAAAAGCTCCACAATTACTGTTAATAGCTGGTGATGAACCATTGTCCCCCTGATGCGAGAAATATATTCTTTTAACTATATTCTTTTTAATAAAGGCATTAAAAAGGAGAAAGATCTCCTGCCCATTTATTTCAATAATGACCACGGAAAAAACCTTTGCAGTTACTGGGGCGTTCAGGCGTTGTGTTGCATGCATTGAACCTGTGTAAGGTGGTTATGTATTCACCTTAGAACTCTTGCAGGTTCTACTATCTGCAGTTTTCCTCAACACTATTTAACCTGAAAGGACTAAGATGAATGTATAGGGGATATGAAATAAAAGCACAATAATTTGCAGCCTGGGTTTCTGCAGCAAGCCCCTGCCAGGAAAGCATCGTGGCATCCCTCCAGCTGGGAGGAACATTAGAGCACTGCTGCGTGCAAACAACTGGACTTGTTGCAACTACGTCAGGTAAGAACTTCAGGCTGCCAACAAAAATTACGGACAGGCCTTTAAACTCTGACTTCTGAGAGTTTTTAAAGGTATAGGTGGAATATTTGGTTATAAAGCAGGTGCTTTGTCACTTCACAGCCCACGTCCAGGGATGAACACAGAAGCCTTGTGTGGGAACAATGCCATGGCACTGCACACCTGTGTGGGGAAAAGGATCAGGAGTGACTGCTCTTCCTCTCAGCGGGATATTTGCTTTGCAGCATGAATACCCCTGAGTTGCACGCTGATATCCTGATGTCTGATTTGTCCCCTGGTGCTACACCCTGCAGTCATTGTGGTAGGAAGGGAAGGTTTGGAACTTTGCTGAACAAGATGAAAAAAAACATCTCTGAAGTTTTCAGTGGAGACTTTCATGGTGCCAATAGCTGGGAATCCATTTCATCTAAAATCAAGGCTGCCATAGGAGAGCCAACAGAATCTGGAAATGAGGGCTGTGCTTTTCATGGGTTTTACATTACTCGTTCTGAACAGAGCCGAGAGAAGCTTGGCCTGAGGCCACTGTCCAGAACAATGTAGGGAAGCATACATGGTTTCAGAATTACTCAATACCATTTGGACCTTCAGTTTTTCCTGTCTTTCAGTCCAAGAGTTCCAGGATTCAGTTTCCTCTGCAGCAGGAGACTCAACACAGTCTTCTTGGAAAGCCACGTTCATATCTGGATATAACTCTACGCCAAGGGTGGCCAGACTGTCAAGGTGGTCAAACGCAGTTCCCAAAATGAGGTGACACCACCTGAGCAGTGAGAGGGCCCTGCTGGCATGGGAGCAAAGGACAGCCCAGCCTCACCTCAAAGGGGGCTCCTGGGGAAACTTTCAGCCACCTCCTGTCTGGGGGCTGATCCCGACCCTCCTGCACGAATATTTAGTGTCACCTTCTTTCTTTGAAGCTTTTCCTGTGGGGGAGAGTCTGAAAGGCCAATACCCTTACATTAATGTGCAATGCCAAGGGAAGGGAGTTAAGTGGTTTCGTGAGCAGCAGAACTCATGAGCTCTGCTTTCCTGCAGGTCTGGGGAGGTTTTTCTCCTCTTTCTTGCCTCCTTCAGGTGTAGGACCCCAGCATGGGGTGATTAGCCAGGACTGGGTTCTTTTCCTAGGTGGGGCAACTACTGGAATATTTTACTCAGAACAATTGCTTTTCCTGGAACTTCCAGCCACCTGCCCTGTTCAAACTTGGCTGAGATAGCTGCCAAGCTTAAAAATTATTGCAGAATACTGACAGAAAAGGCATGTGTTAAGCTCCAGTTCTTCAGGAAATCAAGCTATCTCTGTCCTTCACTTCCCCCATCAGCCCAAAGACAGCTGGTGCAGTAACCTCTGGAAATAAAAAACTTGGAGCTTTTGCCTTCCATTGGCAGGGTTCTCACTCTGTCAGAGAAATAAAAACAACAACAAGGTCATTCCCTGCTGCAAAACTCAGCAGGATGCCTTTCCAGCTTGCACACAAAGATGTCTTTGCCCAAACAGGAACACAGGTCTCAAAGCAACAAAACTGGAAAATTTGGGGAGAAAAATTGAGAATTCAAAGGAGGATCTGCCCAGAACCATTTCCTCAACTCCATGGCAATATTTAAGTTATTGGCAGGATAATTTAATGTGAAGGCTTAAATGTCAAACCAAATATTCCACCCTCTGCTGTTCAGCTAGACTTCAACAGATTGTTTTGTAGTAGATTCTACCTCACCTAACTTTGTCTCCTGTCCAAAGCAGCCACCCCTGTCTGTGCAGTGCTGCTTTGTGAGCTGCTGTGACCACCAGGGTTTGCTCTGTTTGCTGTCTGCAGGCACCTGCACAGGTGTTATCCCAGAGCTGGCACACTCCATCAGTGCCAGGCAGGCACCTCTGTGCCCCTGCATTCCCCCCGGATGAATCACAAACACTCTGTGTGCTGTTCACATGATAGCCTGTGCTGGAGAAGCCCAGAGCACTGGGGACATCAATTACTTGACCTAATTAACGCTGCAGAAAAAGAGGGGATGGTATTTTGATTCCTTCTGACCTAGAAGAAAACCATATAAACACTGCATCTGGGGAGCAAAAATAAACAAACCTATCCCACCTCCCCAAAACCAGACAAATGCTTCCTGTATTACGTTATTTAATAAGTGGGTTAAATCAGGACTTGACCTACATGATTTATTACCCATGTATGTGTTTGAATCAGAATTTCCAGTAGCTAAACTCTGACTAACCCCACTGCCCAGTGCTCCTTCTTCCTCCTTTTAATTCCCTGGCAATGTTGGTGATTTATTTTTTAAATTTTTATTTGCAAACCAAATGTAAGTGAGGCTTCTGGCATCCCTGAACTGTGCACGGTGACTGTGGGGCTTCACATTAACATCATAGAGCTGTGTCCCTCTCCACAATTTCACTGTCAAGGGTGGCTCTGCTGACAAGTGGATACAAAATGGAGAACAGAGAAAACACATGAAACAGGGAAGTGGCAAAGGAACTTGAAAACACATGAAACAGGGAAAAGATCGTGAGGAAGCAAGGCAGACATTTTTCTTTAACAATGTGCTGGAGGAAGAAATAAAAGAGATTTTCTTATTAAACCATGCAATGATAAAATTTCCAATAATATTAGCAGAATTCTCCCTTTGAATTTCAGGCAAAACTTATTGCATCAGGTAATTTTGGGTGGACAGACTCTTAACTCTACATCACATGTCATAAATATACACAATTCAGCTCTTACCATCAAGTGGTTTTGTTTCTCTGACTCCAGAATTTCATCCAATCTCCTTACATTTTTTAAGGTATAAAAAGACAGCAGTGGAACAGAAGGTTTTACACAATGTAAAAGATCTCACTATTACAGAAAGTAACCTTGTTAACAATTCTTCATGGTTACTGAGAAGTAGAAACAGCTACTCAAACTACAGCTCTGTTTGCCTGCATTTATCACCAGAAAATTCCTTTACAGCAGGGTAAGTTGGACAAGACCCATCGTTTCAGGCTTCAGGGCCACACGTGGCTGAGCTGATGAAAGAGCTGGTTATCCAGAAAGAGAGGGCTGGCTCCCCTGCCTCCCTTCCCCTGTGTGCTCCCGTCCTTTTGGCAGCAGCAGGCTGATAGATTAGCTCACCACACCTTGGAGAGCCTCACCCAGTGGCTCAGTCTTGAGTCTCAAGCCCTGTCACGGTCTCAAAACAACAGTTTAAGTTTCAGTATACACTGAAACAAAGCCCAGATGAATGGTGAATAAGAGATTCTGTGTTTGCTTTCACAGGAGGACTTAGCAGAGCAGAAAAAGCCATAACCATCGAGAGTCCAGACTAGATCCAAAAAGAGATTCAGAAAGAAAACTGAGATATTCATAGTCAAACCAAACTAAAACAAAGAAACAAATCTGTGATCACCGAGTCCTGTTTCTTCTGATACCACAGCAGGGACTCCAGCATTATATTTACTTGTATGTATTTTACATTGTATGTCTTGTACACATGGCCACAGAGAGAGCGAGGTGTGTCTGACATCCTTGAGCACAATCACCCTTTTCAAGGCAAGGTCATACAACCAAAACTAACAGGAAGCAAATTAAAGGTGTTAAGGACCTTAAAGACATCAAGAAGTAATTACTTTGTAGGTGCAAGCAGTGGTAACTTTTAAGTATTTACTTCTGTGGGCTTCAATGACTTGCAGCACCATAGGACAGGGTGCTTTGTGCAGAGAAAGAAAAGGGTTTTGATATGGGAAGCCAAATATTTTAAAAGCAAGCTTCCATAACCCATTCAGAATGTTGCTAACAATTCACCCTTCTAAAGCTTGAGATGAAAAGCTAACTGGCCTTGAACACAAATCCCTAACATTAATTATTTTCTGTGATATTCTGTACTTACTACCTGGTGAAGACCCCGTGGGTTCCCCCAAAATTAGCTTAACCCGCTGCACTTAATAACTTGAGCCTTATGCATTCACTTGAAAGCAAACACATTTTATCTTTGATATTGCAAGGCCTTTTGAGAAGTGTTGAGAAGCAGCTTATTCTCAAAAAACACACAGAAAGATCAAGACACTGGGAAATCTGTGCAGTGCGAGCTTAGCTCTCCCCAACGCCCCTGACCTGACACCCTGCAAGGGAACAAAACACCTTTGGGAAGTTTACAGGAACAACTCACACCAGCCTGCACGGCTTCAGGCGCACTGGGGCTGAGATACACCCTGGCACGCTGTTACTCACCCCGTGCTGCCCTAGCTAAGCTTTCTCATCTCTTTTCCTTTTATTTTTTACTGTTAGAACAGCTCAAGGAGAAGCGAGCTCCGCTGAGGGGAAGGCGGGACGCGCTCAGCGCCGCTCTCGCGAGACGCGGCCGCGCGGGCTCCATATTGGGGCATCTGCGCCCTGGAGCCCGGAGCTCTCGCGAGGAGCTCTCCCCGAGGAGCTCCGAGGAGCTCCGTGCTGTGCCGTCCGCGCGGAGCGGCTCCGCGCTCGGGCCGTGCGGGGACAGCGGGGCCAGTGCCCGCGGCTGCCTGCGCTGTGTACGGGGTCGGAGCTCGGCTGCGCCGCCCGAGGCGGGCCGTGAGGGGCGGAGGCGGTGGCTGCGGTGCCGTCCCACCTGCGGCGGCGGCAGCGTGTCCCCGCCCCGCACGCCGGCGCCCCCGCCTCGCTCGCCGCTGGCCGCACGACCGCCGGCCGCGCCTCACGGGGCCATCCCGCCCCTCTCTGTGGCACGGCCCGGCGAGGGAAGAGAGGGAGGGAGGCAGAGCGGCGGGGGAAGGCGGTGACAGGGCCGCGCTCGGCCTCGCCCCCCGCGCCTGCGGGAGCGGGGCAGCGGCGGCGCGGGGCGGGGTTGTGAGGGGCCGGCGGCGGCAGCGGGGGCGTCGCTGCTGCGGGGCTGCCCCCGCCCGGAGCGCTCGGGGGAGGGAGCGAAAGAAGGAAGGAAGGAAGGAAGAAGTCGCTGCTGCAGGAGGAGAAGGAGGTAGTGGCGGCGGCGGTGCTGTTGCAGCCGCAGGCAGAGCCTCCCCCTCCCGCCGCGCCGGGCGGGGCGGGCTCCGCAACCGAGATGTCTCAGGAGCGGCCCAAGTTCTACCGGCAGGAGCTGAACAAGACGGTGTGGGAGGTGCCCGAGCGCTACCAGAACCTCTCCCCGGTCGGCTCCGGGGCCTACGGCTCCGTCTGGTGAGTGCGGGGAGGGGACGGGGCAGCGCGGGGAGGTCGCGTTAGGTCGCGGCCCCTTTGCCCCGCAGGGACCCGTGCGGGCTGGGCACCGCGGCCAGGCTGTCCCCGGGGGGTTCCTGTCCCCCAGTTCTCCACCAGCCTCCTGCAAGACGTTTTTATTTTTTTTTTTTTCTCCCTGCCGGGTTTTACGCGCGGTGCTGCCGGGAAGCCGCAGTCCCGTCTTTGGAATGCGCCGGGGATTGCACCACATGGCAGGTGGCTCCGAAACATTTTTGCAGGGGAAGATAATAACGTGTCGTCCCCCCCGGCCCGCCCCGAATGAGCTCACACGGGCAGATCTCGGTGCGATTCCTTGCACTTAGTAGGTGGGGAGTGCAGAGGGATGGAGCCTGGGAAGCTCCCCCCCACAGCTGGCTTTGCAGAGCTTGTCCCAGTTTCGTTCTGGACCTGAAGGATAGGTTGTATTTGAGGCAATTGTGTTTTCATCTGGAATTTGGTGATAGGCAAGAAATAGGGAGAATGCTGGGAGGGCTGTTCTTGTATTCCTGACAGCACCGATATTTTCTTGGCAATAATAGATGAACACAGGAGGACTCGTTTTATTGCTATGGAATTACTGCAGTGTGTGCTCCCTGCGAGAGTAAAGTCCTGCTGCGAGACCTGCAGAAATGCAGGGAGCTGCAAGAGTTTGGGTTTTAATGCTTACCCCATAGGAGCAAACCAGGCTGCATGTGTGAGATGCAATGCCTCCTTAATTTGTAGCTTCTCTGCTGAGCTGCGGTGGATCATTAAACATAAATGGAGCTGCATACTTGGCTTAAGCTTAAAGACAAGGTGGTATTTGAATCAGTTTGACTCTAGACTTTAGCAGTCATTTAGTTAAATGTTCACAGATTACTGCCTCCTTTGATTGAGAAACGTCTTCCACATGAGCGTTCTGGGTTTTATTGTGTGTCCTTTGGTTCTGTCAGAGTGTGAGCAGAATTTTGAAATATGCGTGCATAATTACAAAGCTGCTTTGCTGTTGTGTTCGAGCAGGCATGCATATGTTTTTATTAATGTAGTATGCAAAGTTACATTATGGGTATCAATTTTATTATAAGGAGGGACACATGCTGCATTTTGCTAGTAAAGAAAAGAAATTCTTTTGCATGAGCTACAGTTTAAATGAAATGCTCAGCTGTTCTTAACCTGTTACAAAATTGTTGGTAGTTGAGCTTAAATAACTTGCATTTTTTAAAATGCTGTGATTGAAGTGTGCAGAGGCTTGCATTTCATAAAAGTAAACCAGGCAGGTCAGTTTTGTAGCAAGAATAACCAATATGCTTGCTGAGGTGTGTTTTTGGTTTTTTTTTTTTAATATAATTATAGAATGGTTTTGATTGGAAGGGAATAGACAGGTTTCTTCTGGTGAAAGAAGGACCTTGTTGACACAGCTGATAAATACCTTGTAAGTGTCACAGAGTTATGCAACTCCTGAGATGTAATGGGAAATTAATTTGCTTGGTGCCTGGTCCTTTGTATTTTAAGGTTGATCCTACATCATATACCCCACTCCCATTTTCTCTTCCCCCTCCCTACAATCTCCATTGTGCATGTAATACTTGCAAAGTTTGTTTTCAGCCAGTAACTAACGAGTTTGCATCATGAATTTCCTGTTTTGCTGTGTCAAAACTTTCAAAGATTGTGCAACTTTGTTCAGACCAAGTGAAACAGTTTTGTATTGGAAGCAATTTCAGACATGTGGCAGAGTCTTTTTACAGTTCATGTTAATGGCTTCCTCTATGTTCTTCTAAAAATAGTTTTCAGAAAAGATGTAGTGATATGGAAAGTATGTCAGAATTGAAAAATTCAAGAAAACAACAAAAACTTCTGCATGTTTATGGGCGTTTATTAAGCTACAAGTGGTGATGCATGTTATTTATGGTATTCCTGCAAGAACTTGTTCTGCTCTGTCCCCTTAGAGATTATTCTTTTCTCTCCAGTAAAAAGTTTCATTTGGGGTTTGGTGTGTCCCTGTTGGGATAGTACATAGTGGTGTTTTAACAATCCTTAAAATGAGAAATATATTTTCGTGTGTGTTCACTGCATTATTGTATTCAAATGTAATCCAATAAGCTCTGTTATTTAAGTTGTCAAAATGAGGCATTTAAAAATGAGGAATCTGCAGAAAGTGGAGGGGAAAACGGATAAAAAAGAAAGCATGAAGGTGCCAGATGAGTCACTTAGACTAGGGAGCTGTTGTGGGCTGCTTTGAACGTGCTGCGAGTGTGGCTTGGAGCTCCCTGATGCACAAACCTGACTGCTGGGGAGGCAGTGCCTGCAGGAGAGGCATTTGCTGCAGCAGCCTGAGCCCCTGCCTGCAGTCAGAGCAGCTATTGCAGTGTTTCTGAGGGGTGATGTGCAGTGTTGGAAGAATGAGGATCAAATACCAGCTCAGGTGTTTTTCAGGATCCATTTTTTAAAAACTGCATGTGTTGGAGATACAAATAGGGATTCAGTTCCAAAACTTTGAGAAAAATCTGCACGTATCCTCAGGCTGATTCTGCCTAAGTCAAGCAGCAATTGCCATGGCATCTGCTGTATGAAATGCTGTTTCATTCATTCTTGCAACATTTTGTGTATTTATACAACACAGTCTCTTGCATGCTTTTGTAACCAGGCCTGCACTGAAAAAAGGGCTCCTAACATTTTGTAATTTTTCATGGGAGGAGGAGAGGGCCTGGACAATGCATCTTGCAGTGGGAAGTTGCTGGACAGAGATGGGATTGATTGGTGACTCACACTTCACTTGCAGGATTGCTTCATTTCTTGCCCGTGCTGGAGGGAAGTCTCCACTCCTGGCATCAGTTCAGCCAGCTCTGAGCTAAGCAAAATGGTGTTTTCACAAATTTCCCATCAATTTCTAAAAGGCTGTGAAGCACGTTTGTTGTATTCTTAGTTAATTGTTATATTTTTGCAGCTGTTCTTCATTGTATTGATACCTTTGTAAAATAAGGGGCTTGGTTTAATTGCTTTGCAAGCTATCTGTGTTGCCTTAATTTGAAAAGGATTGAACAGCCAACACTTACTCTTCCTCAAAATCTTGCATAAGATTTTTTTTTAGCTTTTTTTTAATAGACTGTCAGGTGATACAGCCCTCCAAAACCTGTGATTTCTTCCCATTTCAACCCACAGTTGTACTGAGACTGAGTTTCTTGGGTACTGAGAGCTCCCAGAGAAACATTATAGATTTAACACATTTTAAAACATTAGGGTCTAGAGGAAATGAAATAAGCCTGAATACCACATTTGTAGAAACAGTTCCTCTGTGGATTTTTTTTCTGATCCCTTATCAAAGCATGCAGGTGCCTCAATCCTGTGTGTGCCAGGAGGGACAGGTGCCTGCTCCTCCAGCGAGGTGTGGTGGATCTGAGGAGTGATAGGAGCTGAAAACTGAGTGGGATGGAGTAGCCACAGGAAGGATTGGCAGAAGATGAGTGGGGAGGGGGCAGCTGAGTAGGAGAAGGGCAGGCACAGAAAAGCTGTGAGCAGAGCTCTGAAAGTGCTGGCAAGGAGTTTGGATGTAGGGGAGCTTGGTGCATTAAGTAAATTAGTGAGAGCACATCTGCTTAGGGAGGTTTTTATTGCAGCTTTCTTAGAAGCAGAAGCTAATCTAGCACAGGAGAAGGATATTTGCAGCTTTTATTGTGTGTTGGGAGGGTGATGGCTGAAGTGCAGGTACAGAAGTGACTGCAGTCAATAATAAACTGTCAGGTGCTAACTGTGCTTTTCTGTCTGATTAGGAGTGCATAAATTAACCTCAGAGGCAGCACTAAGGAGATTCAGGTATTTGAGCTTGGGTATTTGCAGAGGCACAAGCAATGAGCAGCATATATTTAGCAACAAAGCCTTTGTACAAAAATTAACATTCTGATTATTTAATATTTAAATAAATTGTGCTCATAAGTAACCTTGTTACTTGGTTCTCTAAAGTAATTGTTTTCTTCTACCTCCTGTGCTCTGGATTCAATTCAGGTTAGATCAGAATTGTAATTTTAGCTCACTTAGGGTGAGGTGGATGCAGATCATTTGCCATAGCACAGTACTATGTAAGAGGTTAAAAAAAGTGTGATAAATTCTAAATTTGTGCTGATCTTATTTTAAAATGGATTTAAAACTGTGGATAGTGCAATTTTTTCCTAATTGGGCTTCTTTAGCTGAAATATGATCAGTGCAATGCAGCTGTTTTAAAGTCTGTGATGAAAGGCAGCTTAGAGTTCTTTAAAATGTTCTCCAGCTGACAGCTGCTCTGTAGCTGTTCATTAGCCAGTTAGCTGCAGTGGCAGAAAATTACTCAGCAGGATTTATCTGTGGGGAAATAGTCTTTAGGCCTCAAATATGACCAGACTTTGTGTTCTGACTTCAAGTCTAGATTGTGAATATTCAATTATACAGAATTTTCTTTCCTGAGCTTGTGCATTGTGCTGTTTAACCAGTATTGCTGACTGCAGTTCTCTTGAGGTTCTGCAGCTACTGCAACAGCACAGTGACTTGGTATGAGCCCAGAAAATGTAATTTAAAAAGAAAAAGTGAAACTGAATTTCATCTGAATCCTGAAACAGCTGATTTTATGTCTGGTGGCTCTGAAATCCCAAAATCTTGGAAACCAAAAAGAAATTTGACTCTGCAGCTGCAGAGGTTTGAGGTGCAGGGGATCCCCTTCTTTGCAAGATGAAAGAGTTTCTGGTATTTGCTGCATTTTGTACCTGAATGTTTGGGAACTGGTGAAGATCCATGACTAATTTAGAGCAGCATGTGCTGAATGATGATGACTACTCTTATTTTTGCTCGAAGTCCTAGAAAACACCTTATGTATCAGTAAAATGCTGGCATGTATTTTCCGGCTGAACTAGAGATATTTGTGTATTGCAGGATGGTGATTTTTACCCGAGGCTGAAAAATAATTGAATTCTAAATTTCATTAAGCATTGCCGCTTAAATATTGATTTTTTTTTTCCTAGTGATGTGTGAAAACTTGAGAATTGGAAATCAACATTAAAAAGTGAATGCTTGGTGGCTTCTTTTGTGTGCCAGGCTGGGGTGTAAAGGATAACTTGCATGTGGAGTTAGTTGCTAAGGGGTGTTTTTTTTGTAGCTTGAGTAATTCAGCTCTGGCAGGTTTGCTGCTGTGACCTGGTGTACTCCTGTGTGTTTTCCAGAGAGGTCTTTCCACTCTGCATGCCCTTTACAGAAAGGGAGATGTTCCTCTTCCCCTGGGCACAGAGGGTTTTTCCACTCCCTGCCAGGCCTGGGGAAGGGTCACTGCTCACAGGAGGCTGCTGATGGTGTGGTTTTTATTTCTTATAAACTTCACTTACCAAATTCCTTGGAAACTGGGCAAATATGAGATAAGGAGTCTTTTTGCAGGTTAATTCTTGGTGGTTGTTTTGAAAGTAAGTGACAGCTGCCTTTATTTCAAACAGCTCCTTTGGTGGGGTGGGCGTTGTGGATTGCATGTGCAATTGTGGGTTTATTTAGGACTGCTCTTGGGATTGGTGTTGAGCTTTGTTAGTTAAGCTTTATATTTCACACTTTATAAACATGTAGCATTCCTTTTTGCTTGATGTTTATCAAGAACCAGTGCATACTCACTTGGAAATGGAATCAGGAGTTCACCTGAATCATAAATATAGCAGGAAAATCAACCAGTATTGTCCTTGTATGACTTTTTCCATTCCATACTTTCCCCATATTCATTGCCTTGAGTGAAGTGTTGATTTCATATCCTCTCTTTCTCCTCCTCCTTCCTTTTGGACAGACCTTAGCTTTATAAATTCTGTAAGAAATTACTTTAAATATAATTTTACTGTACTATATATATATTTGCATGTGTATATATATATTTAGTTACAGAGTCCTCATGGACTCTTAAGAAAAAATACTATTTGTATGTACAAAGGGACAAGTTTTGGTAATGTACAGCTACTTATCATTCATTCACATGCACTTTTATATAACAGAACTTGGTGAAACTTAATTTCAGCTACAGTTGTGATTAACAACAATCATAACTGATTTTATTAGGCACAAGTTCTGGATTTTTGTATGGATTTAAACCATGAAAATAGTATTTTGAGCATAGCATTTTGTGATCAAGGGTGGTGTTTGAAAGTATGTTTAGGAGTAGTGATGATAGTTACAAGTACTCTTCTCTCCAGAGTTTTAGTGCATAATTATGTTTAAGAGCACTTCAGACAGCAAAGTCATAAACATTTCTCTTTCTTTCTACAAGATTCTCCTTTACTGTGTGGACAAGACTCATCTTTTAAACGCTTTCTGCAGAAACCAGCAGTTGTGTAAAATTGTGAGGATTTTGTGTGGCGCGCAGGTTACAGACCAGGAAGCCTAGAAACTGTTTTCATTGCAGAAGTGCTGCTGCTGTAGCTCAGCGTGGATTCGGAGGCATGCCTAAGAGTCACTTTGCTGATGTGCTTGCCCTGTTGCAGTTCTGCCTTTGACACCAAAACGGGTCTGCGCGTGGCGGTGAAGAAGCTGTCGCGGCCCTTCCAGTCCATCATCCACGCCAAGAGAACGTACCGCGAGCTGCGGCTGCTCAAGCACATGAAACACGAAAACGTGAGTGCAGGGAGTCTGTCTTGGCCTGGGCATCTGCCGGGGTGGGCTGTCACCTGTCTCTGCCCCAGCACGGGAAAAGGTGCTTCTGGGCAGGCCGCGCTCTCCAAGAAGGAGTCTGGACTCTTGCTTTTGGTCTTCAGTTGAGTTTATTGTTCCTTATCTACAAAGTTTTTCTGTCTGTCCAGCCGAGGTCTGATCAGCAGGACAGCCAAGGGCACTCTCTCCTGCCCACGGGGCGGTTGTCTCTTTCATAGTGAAAACTACCTATTAGATATTTAGCTTTAATTCCCAATACTTTTCGCCCTTGTTGGCAGGTGCACTTTCACTATGAACCAATCCACACGTGCCAACATCATCCTGAACATGGATGCCAAGGAGAAGAGAGAAAAAGACAGGGCACGCCCAAATCCCTCCATCTTGGGACTCCTGACCCCCATGTACAGAATTTCAAACCCCCCTGTACAACATACAAAACCCCCTTGTACAGTGCTCTAAAGTTTTTCCCTTCACCCTGTGATTCCTACTTAAACTTTTGTGGCCTGTAGTTCTTCATATAAGGTTGGCAATTTGCTCCATGAATTAAGGTCGAATTTCCAGGTGTCTTTGGCTTCCTGCCAGGGTCTCCGAGCCCCTGCCAGGGCTTTGAGACATCCAGGGCATCCAGAGATGTCCTGGGTTCCGACAGGCATCCATCCTGATGCTTTGCTTTTTTCTTGGTGCTTGTGTTTTTTTCCTCATGCTGAATGCAAAGCTTGCAGTCCAGGGTGTTGGAGTATCTCGTTCATGGTGATGTGAGTGAGTGAGTGGAGCTGCAGAGCTCTCACGTGTGTCTGCATCAGGTTTTCAAGTTCCAGAAGACCTCTTTAGCTTGCACAAAGCACAACACTGAACAGATGGAAGTGAAACATCTACTGGAATAAATGCTTCAGTGCCACAAAGGATCTTAGGAACTGTATCATAGTGTGCTATAAGGATATTTCACAGCTTTTCTCTTCACTGTTTTCTTTTTAGGTGATTGGTTTGTTGGATGTGTTCACCCCTGCCAAATCACTAGAAGAATTCAATGATGTGTAGGTAACTTCTCTGAAGATTGCAACAAAATGTCTTTTGTATCTCCTTACACCTCTCAGGTTATGACAGAAATATTTGTCTATTTAATTGGTCTGCCATCACTCACAAATAATCCTGAATTCCAGCACAAAGTTACAGTATATCCTAAGCTATTGGACGTGTCAGAATTGTTCACTTGCTGTGGTTCACTGCCCAGTGCTGCTGGAATCACTCCACTAATTTGCTACATTATTTAAAGTGTCACCATCTGTGTTTCATTGAACAACGTGCTTGGGGACAGTCAGCTCTGCCACTGGAGCTTTATAGGGAATTTTTATCCTAATCCTACTCAAGAGATTGCTTCACAGCCCACGTGTTTGCTTTTGTTCACAGGTACCTGGTGACACATCTCATGGGAGCAGACCTGAACAACATTGTGAAATGCCAGAAGCTCACTGATGACCACGTGCAGTTCCTCATTTACCAGATCCTTCGGGGCCTGAAGGTGAGTGTCCCTGTCCTCCCTGAATGGGGACAGCTCACCGTGGGGGGTGGCAGTTCCTGTGAATGTTACACCCTCAGAAGTTCAGATGTGTGCACAGGGCTTCTATAACTTCCCTAAAGTATTGTAGAATAACATTTTAGTATTGTTCTTTCCCTTCTGCCTCGCGGGAGCTCTGCATCAGTGAGGTTACCTATCATTTTTATGTGTTCTATGGGCAGAGAACCATGAGCTGTGATGCCCTCTGGTCTGCTCTGGCAATGAATTTTCCATTTCTTCAGTTTTGTTTACTTGTGTTGTTCCACTGGTGTGGCAGCACTCCTGGGTGTTCCTGGTGTTCCTAAGGAGAGGCAAAGTGGAACACCCACCTGGAAACCCACAGCCAGACTGGAGCATCTCAGTTGTGTGGGCTGGGCTAGGGCAGTATTTTCCAGGGAAGAGATGAGGAGGTGGCTGCTTGGACTGTTACATAAATTTTGTCATCTTATTTTACAGTACATCCATTCAGCTGACATAATACACAGGGTAAGTATTCATTCTAAGATTGTGTCCTGTAGTGAAACAATATCTTAAAAAAATTAAGCATGAACATGTACCAGTAGCACCAAGAAAAACCAGAGAAAATTTTCTGAGAATTTTTTTGGTTAAGTAGTAAAAAGTTGGAACAGGGGAAGTGGTTGTTAAGGTTTATAATTTTCCTTTGTGAATTAGCTTTTCTCTTAAATACACATATGCAGCACCAGTGTTACCTTTATGCATTTTTGGTTATATGTGACACCTCTGAGAACCACAGAAGAAATTTCTGACTCTGATGAAATAATTTATCCAAAGTTAGTATTTGCACTCAGTTAGAATCTGTACTTTTATCTCTGTTTACAATTTTATCTTCTTCAGACTCGTGAAACAGCACATACTCCACTGTTAATGCTGATGTTTAATTTTTTAGGATTTAAAACCCAGTAACCTAGCTGTTAATGAAGACTGTGAGCTGAAGGTAATGTAATTAAAAAGTCTGATTTGTTTGACTGAGATTTGAGTGCCATGTGAACGTCCCTTGCAACTGAAGTGTCAAAACAATTCCTTTTGAAAATACTTTCATAGAAAAGTCATAATCTGCTTCCCAGCTGTAGAGTTGTAAGGATGTAAGGATGTTTTGTATCTGGTCCTGTGTTTTCAGTGAATCATCATGAAAGTGCAGAGTTAACAGCTTTAGTTTGTGTTTACTTGTTTTGGAGACAAGATACCCAGCCACAATTCTGATTGCCGAGTCCTGCGCTGCCCTAGCCTAGTGTCTCTTCACAGCTTGTGAAATTTGCTTTCATAGTGTGTTTTTGCAGCTCTCCCAGCCCTCGTGTCCCCGTTGGGTGCTGGCTGTGCTGGTGGCTGCAGCGTGGCTGCAGAGCTGTGTTTGTGTTGCAGATCCTGGACTTCGGGCTGGCGCGGCACACGGACGATGAGATGACCGGCTACGTGGCCACGCGCTGGTACAGGGCTCCTGAGATCATGCTGAACTGGATGCACTACAACCAGACAGGTACTGCTTCAGCCAGCACCACAGTTCTCTGCTTTGTCAGCTTTCTGAACTCTGAGGGGGAAAAAGAAGTCCCCCTCCATTTGATTGCATAAATTGGCATTCCTGGTAATTACGCTTTGGGGCTGGTGTTTGAGCCACTTTGTCAGGTGGAAGTTCAGAATCATTGTGGTAACATTCACCAGCAATTTGAACCTTTGAAACTGCAATCAGAAAATATTGTCAGCACTTATCCCTTGCTTTTCCTAGCTGAGTGGTTTTTGAAATAAGTGACTGGGATGTGTCTGGGTGTGGAGAATGTCTGGAGCTACAGTGTGAAGAAATGATAAAAGTGGATAAATCTCCCATCCTTCTCTCTCCTGTTAGCCACTTCTTCACAGATTTATCTTGCTCACAGTTTCCAGTATCTTCTCTCCAGCAATACTTGCAGGTCAGGGACATAGAAGAAAATAGTTCTGTACAGGAAAGCACAAAGAAAATGATGTGCTACCCCAGTTTCAGATATCAGTACCTTATGGGTTTATTTTCCCCCCTCTTGCACACACATGGGCCAGTCTTGTATCATCAGTGCAATGGTTGGTGGTTGCTTGGGTAGCATTTGTGTAAAGCCACATGCAAATCCATTCCTCAGAGTCCTCTTGGACAGGTTGCTTCCCCTTTGTTGGTTTACATTCCTCCCCAGCTCTTTGGTGTTCAGGTCATGTTGCAGTCTGGAGGAAGAGTTGCCTGATCTTGAATTCTGTTATTTGTACAAGTTTTAGATGCCACAGAACAGTATCAGTTAGCTTGCAGTGTGTTTCAGATTGTTCAAGGAGGAGTTGTTTGCTGTGGCTGGATGGGAGGGTTCTGCTCAGGCTGTATTTTTATGCATCATGTTTTGTTTTCTGTTTTATTTGTTCAGTTGATATTTGGTCAGTGGGATGCATTATGGCTGAGCTGTTGACTGGAAGGACATTGTTCCCTGGCACAGACCGTATCCTTTAGAAGTAATTTCTTTTTTGAAATTGAAATTAGATCTTCATTTTGACACAATCAACAAGAAAATACCTTCTGGGTTTAGTTATGGACTTCTGTTTGTTTGTTTTTAAATTAATGGCTTTTTTTTACTCACAGTACAAAGAGGTGAGTTCTTGAATTTGCTGCACATCTGTTCCTCTTTATTGTCTATTGTCATCATTAGATTTATATACTCTTTGTTTCTGTTACTTTCCTTTAAGTTTATTTAAATTTATTGGTTGAGTTTCTAGCTAATACTTGCATGGATGTCTGCCAAGAATCCTCTCTGCTTTAGGTTTCTTGCAAATGTGATTCCCTTCTGGCCTCTCTTCTTTTCTCCTGGAGGTATCCTGGCTGTGAAAGCAGGTTCTTTATTTAAATTTTTGCAGATTCTTTTGTGACAGGGTTCTCATTAAAATTGCTCTGAAATGTTTAGGTTCCATTTCCATGCTTGACTGGGAACCTCCTTTCACAGTGTGCTTATACTGATGTGAAAATTCAGTAAGATCTCTGCAAAATATTTATTTTTTTGCCTCATAAAGTGGGCTGGGTAGGACACTTTGGTAAATTTGAGAGAACTTTGTGAGATTTGGTCATGTTTTCCCCAGGAAATTGCAAGTGAGACTTGATGCAAATTGTTGCAGTTAAAATTTTTGCTCGGCCACCAAGATTGGGGTGTAATTTACTCCTGGCAAGATTTTTCATTGCCTAGAAATTGGGTTTTCATTTGCCAGAGAAAATTACATTGGCCACCTTTTCCCAAAGTTTATTATTTCAACCACAGTCTGTTCATGTTAATAACTTCTGTTAATTTGTTGGTATTTGTGTCAGTTCATTCCAGTATGTTAGCACTTGATGAAAAGCAAGCTGGTGTTGGAATTGCTGCCTGCTGTTTATTTACCTTCAGAAAGCATCTGGCTTCCAAAACTGGACCTGAGGAGAAGCTTTCATTCCAGCTTTGTGCCACCTCTTCTCAGTGTGCTTTAACTTATCCTCTCCTCTTTTTCCTCTTGACTCCATCTCAATTTCTCTAAATTTATTGTGCTATGCTGTGTAGTCATCTCTGCTGTACTTTTCTCTTGTCAGAGACAGAAACTGAATTAAACAAAAGCTGGTATATTTTTATCTGTTGATTCATCATGTGTAGGTTGGTTTGGACATTTTTTTGGGTTTCTTTTAAGAAAAAGTGAGATACCAAGAACTGTTCATTCAAACAAAGCAAAAGCCTTTAAGCTGTTGCCATTATTTAACCCTAACAACAGTGACACTTCAGATTTTAAAGAACTTGACACTTGCAACTAAAATATTTGTAATAGGATTTTCAATGTGTAAGAAATGCTTCATGGTTTTGATTTATTTTGTGGTTTTTATGAATTGAACAAAATGGTGATTCTTCCAGGTCTGGGAAGTTTTTTCTCCAACTCTGTTCTTAGTTGTGAATTAAAGCCACTGATATCTGCAATGCAAAATGAATACTTCTAGGATCTAATTTATTTGCTTTATCATAATAAGGTACTTCATTCATTTATGTCTCCCTTGTGATGATTTACTTTAAATGCTCCATTTCATTTGCAAATGGCAGTAATGCTTTTTAATGAAATGCTCTTTCTGTTCTGAGTGCTTAGATTTAAGAAAAACAGACCCAATCCTTTCCTATCTTAGACAAAACTTAGTAGTACTGTAATTCTTCCAGTCCTTCTGTGTTTGTGCTTTTTGATCATGAGGTTAAAACTGAAAGGAGAGCAGGGTTGGTTCTGAATCTTGTTTGTGCATGGAACACTTCCCCAAGGACTGGGAAGGACCCTGGCTGGCAGCTTTCACTCCAGGTCTGCTGGCATCTAAAGACAGCAAGCAGAATTCAGATAACAGTCAGTTCTAGTTTCTTCCTGGCTTGGAAGGCTCTTGGAAATCTTTGTGTGTGCATTATTTAGGAGAGAGCTGAAGGGGTTTTCCAGGTTTAGGTCCTGTTGGGTAATTCTGGGCTCTTAATTTCCTTGTACCCACAGATTTGCAGAGGCTCTTGTTCCTCCTGTAGTGTCACTGCCCAATTGCTGACTTAGTGACTTTGGAGTTAATATTAACATGAATAATTCAAGGTATGTTTGCCTTGTGTCCAGTACCAAGGATGAGATATATCCAAATCCACTGCAGCTCTAGAAAATTCCCTGGGCAGTTGGAGGCAGTGGGACTTTGTGTTGCTGGGAATGGCTCCTGTTTGACAACTGAACATCTGAAATAATTCTTGCATTTTGGTCTCAAGATGTAAATTTTCTCAACTGTGTAGCCTCACATTTCCAAAATTAGAGTGACAGACTATGTAATGGCTTCTCAGGATGACCATCCCCCTGTTCAGATGGCTCTGTGTGAAGGGTTGGTCCCTCTCAGCAGGGATTTGGCAGAAATGCTCTGGTGTTATTTACAGTCCCTCACACATTTCTTGTACAGCCTGGGGAGCACCCATTCAGGGCAGGTAAGCTGGAAGTTCATTGAATCAGGTAAGTAAAATATTGGACTCTGAAATGAGGATCTCCAGTGCTGTCTGTGATGATTGTGCCTCTGATAAATGAATGTTGAGTTTAAACCTCTGAATCTGTAGAGATTCTAAACACAGCTGTCATTGACTTAAAGCAAGACTGGAGATACTCTAAGGAAAAAACCCTTTGGTTAATTTGGGTTTAGCTCTGCAGGATTGCTGAAGTACTTCTAATTTACACTGAATGTAAGGTAATTGTATTGTCCCTGTTGTAATCTATGGGTAGAAGCATTTGGATTGAAGATGGATTTCCAGTACTGGTGAAATCTCTGCCAGGAGGTGGAGAAGGGGATCAGGATTGTGGGAAAGGAGTCAGAGAGCAAAAAGTGAGGAGATGCAAATCAGAGTCCTTCAGGCATTGGACTCTGATCCTTGTGGGTTCCTTCCAGCTCAACATGTTCTGTGCATGGGAGGCTTAGCTCAGGCTTTCTTTTGGTGTTGTTGTATCTGTCTGATGCCAAGATCCATTTCTGTTAAACACATCTATTAATTAAATTTTTACAGCTCTGGGTGTGAATGATTCATACAAATGAGTAGGAAAATTGACTTGGAATATTTGACTTGCACAAAATCATATAAAGTAAAAACAAGAATATCTAGCTTTTTCTTGTACTAGTTTAGCATTTTTATGTTTTGTGTTCCCTTAAACTCTGAAGAGTTTTTTTTTTTTTCTGTTTTTATTCAGTATTATGAAACTTCCATGATAACTAACCAGTCTGAGATTACATATTCTTCTGATACACTTATTCTTGCTTGTGATGGCAGCTAAAAGAACTTGGAACTTTGCTTTGCCTGGATAAGCTGTCACAATCTTGTGAGATTTGCTGCTGCTGGTGACAGCAGGTTATTTTCTGAATTGTAGAATCCCTCCCCAGTCCTTGGGAGTAGCTTGAGGATGGCACTTGGGGTTTGCATGCTGTGCTTTCCTGCTCCATGCACTTGTGCTGGTGTTTCTCTTCTGCTCTGTACTTACTAAATCTCTTTCCTGTCTTTAATTGCTCGTGGCTCATTTCTCTGGGAGGTGCTGGGCCCTGTAGTTAAAGAGTGCTGCAGTTCAGCAGGTTGTAAATGCAGGCCTAAAACCAGAAGCAGGGTTGGGTTTTGGCAGAGCCAGTTCCATAGTCTGTGTTTTTTCTTATTTATCTGGGAAGTATCTCCCACTGGCAAACAGGGCAGAAATATTGTGCACAGTGCACAGGCTTCTGAATGCCTTTAAATAACTTAAATATTTAACTGAGCTGTGGCATGTTAGCACTCTAAAATTTGCACTTCAACTGCTGAATAAGTGAAAGAAGTAAGGACTGTTTTAAATAGCTCTGAAGAAAATCTAATTGAAGTGAGCCAGTTGTGGTTAGTGGAGTGCCCTTTGCTATTCTCCTACAGCAGTGCATATTCTGATCTCATTTTAAGCATTGACTGTTCAGAGTTTGCAGTTCAGCTGTGCTAAATCCAAATAGATATTGGGTTTACTTTTAGGTTTTGAGTAGCTAGAAGTTTGCCAAGTAACTTTCCAAGTGAAAAATTAATTCAGCTCTTCTGACCAAGGGCTAATTCCAGAGCTCTTAATTAATTTGATAGATCAAACTTTAGACCAAAGTTTACCTCAAAAGATGGTGGTTTTAGCAAAGCATTGGTGATTTCCTTCAGTCTGAATTATTACAGGAATATATTACAGTATTACAGGAACTCTGAGTTGTTTTCTAGGGTTTTTTTTAAGCAGGTGACAGTTTTTGAAGTTCTTGCAGTACTCAGATTAAAAGATGCTCTGAGAAGGAGCTGCAGCTGTATCTTCAGCCATCAGGAAGGCATTGATCCCAGAAAACAAGATTGTCTAAAAAAATTTATGTAACTATTTTGGTGTAATTTTAAAGGCAAATATAAACATTATGGACAGTCTGAAATGCCTGTGGAGGATAATTCAGGGAAGAAGGGAGATGATGGTTTTAAAAAAGATACTTTGTCTTCTTAGTGAGTTACATAAATTTTTTTAGACAATTTTGATATAAAGGCAAATATAAACATTATGGACAGTCTGAAATGCCTGTGGAGGATAATTCAGGGAAGAAGGGAGATGATACATTGATGGTTTTAAAAAAGATACTTTGTCTTCTTAGTGTCTTGAGATTTAGACATAAATGATGGATTTTTGATGGATTCCCCCCTCCCTCAGTTGTGTGTTTTGTCAGCCAGGCCTTGTTGAAGGGGACAGCTCAGGCTGGCACGTGTCCTTCTGTGCTGTGTCCCTGTAAAACATTCTTTCCATCTGCAGGGCTCCATCCTGACAGCTTTGCACAGATGTGTTAAACCCTGCTCTGCTTCTCCCTGCTGCTGCAGCAGGGATGTTCAGGTTGTTCAGGTGTTTGGTCCCAGGAGGTGCCAGGGCAGGACCCTGTGCCAGGGCAGGACCCTGTGCCAGCTGCAGCAGCTCAGCTGCCCTGGCTGTGCCCAGAGTGTGCCCAGGGTGTGCCCAGGGGGAAGTGGTGCTGCGGGGTCCAACCATTTCCTTACCTCCTGAGCTGTAGAAGTGGCTGACTGAGCTTGGAAGGTGTTCACAAAAAGCCTTGACTTTCTTCTTAATGTGAGTGCCTGCCCTTTCCAGCCTTCTGCTTTCCTTCAGCTGTTACTAATGCAAGCTAATCCTGTGAACTGCAGCTTGGTGTGGGCCTGAGGGGGTGAAGGGAGCATGGGAGTTCAGCCTTGGCCAGTGGGGCTAAAGATCTCTGCTCCAAAATAAAGATTTGAGGGTGCAGTGCCCAGTTCCATGCATGTGGGGTGTCTGCAGACAAGATGTTCAATCTGTCTGATACAGAGGGAGCTCAGCTATATTCAGTTGTAACAAGAGGAATGAATATGGTTTGCCTAAAATAGCTTTTGAGTCAAGGCCTTGGCAAGAATTAATTCTCAGCATTAATAGGGTGATGTGTTGCGCTTTTCATTTTGATTTCTCCCAGCATTTTCCTTTATGGTCCATCATTAGATATTGATCAGTTGAAGCTCATTTTGAGACTCGTTGGAACCCCAGGGCCTGAGCTTTTGAAGAAAATCTCCTCAGAGTCTGTGAGTTTACACTTTGATTGTAATATCTGCCCTTTCAGAAGTCCCAAGCTTGTGTGTTGTTCTCCTGTAGTCCTATCTGTAGAATGTGTTGGGATTTATTTTCTGTTATTTTTCTTCCTTTGTAATTCTTTGCTCTTGGATGGCTTTAAGTTCTTATGCTTTGTGTATCTTTATTCCTCTTACCTCTGCCCATGGTATGATTTCATCCTTCCACATTCTCATTTTCTGCTTCTCTCTCAGTTTGTGGGTTTATGCTTTGTGATCTGTTGTACCATCAGGTGTTACTGGGGAAGTATTTTTCACAGCTAAGAGCTTGAGGCGTGTCTCAGTTACTGTTTCTCCAGATTGCACACCCAGGGATCTTTCTGAATAGGAGCAGGTGTGTTATCCTCTGAACACACCCAGTCCCTTCTGTAGTGTGATGAATTTCTGAAACGCTGCTGCCATGTCTTTGTTTTTGTAGCAGAAAATGCCTTTCAGGTGCCTTTCTGTGGCAGCTGTTCCAGGGCACACAGCAGAGGCTGCTCTTCCCTTGTGCTGTGTGGGATGATGCTGTATGGGGCCCTTTCACCAAGGAGCCCCAAAAATGCCTCCTGCAGTCACTTTGGGAGGGTGACCCCCCTTTTCAGCCTTGCTGTGCTGGAGGAATCTTGAGTTGTGAACTTGTGCAAACACAGTGTGACATGGCCTTTAATCCTACCTGTTCCTGAAGGAGGAGGGAGTCAGAGCCAGGGCCAAGCAGGTGAATGCACAGTGAGCTCTGAGGTCACTGCAGTTGGGGAGGTGCAGCAGAGGATCAGAGCTCTGGGGATTATCTTGTGCTTAATGATCTTGGAGCAGTGACTGTAAACACAAATGTGAGATTAGCCTTGGACATCACCTGCTGAAGGCATGTGCAGTGCAAATTGGGATGAATTGGTCAACTCGCTGAATATCCCAGCAAAGTAAAAAGCCCTGGGATGTTCCAGCTTTGGAGAGGTTGGAGCTGAATCACCCAGACTGATTTGGTTGCCCTGTGAACTGACCTTAAGGCTGCTCTGGTGTTTGAATACAGGGGATTAGCAAGACATAAGATGGAAGGTTGACTAAAATAGGCAGAAGATTAATTTGCATGTGTAAGTTGAAGTGGGTCTTTTATAAACATTATTGCACAATGAAAATAATAATTGCTCTTATCCGGGTCTGTTTGAAAAAAAAAAGGCAATAAATACTGTTTGTACTATTTATCCATTGTGTGGGGAAAGCAAAACTCTTCAGTGTTTGATGGTGTTGTCACTATAACAAATTCTGGTTTTCTGCTGCATTACTTTACTGACTCTCACTTTCCCTGTTCACTGATACCTGCTAACTCTGTTTTATGCCATGCTAATGTTGTGCTAATTTTGCATTGAATGCCTTGTGTCACCCAGCCCACATCAAAGGGCACTCAGAGCTGTTCAGAGGTGTCAGTTGTGAGCCAGTTTCACTTTGCACCACAAGAAACTTAAGCACTTTCTGTGCAGCAAGAGGGAAAAAAGCTGGTAACCAGTGCAGAGGGTAGAGTTTTTGTTTCTGTTTTAATTTTGTTCATTTTCCTGAAGCTGTGTATAGCTGCACAGCTCAGGGAAAACTTTGTGGAGTAGCCTCAGCCAAAGGAAACATCTCCTCTGATGGCTTAAAACTGCTGGGAAATGTGAACACAGCCTTGTTGGAGTGTAATGCTACTTGCATTGGACAGAAATACTTTCTGTACTGGCAGTTACCAACTGAGCAGTGAGTCTCCATTGCTTTAAGTGTTCACTCTGTAATCGCTGAACATTTCACAGGTAGCTGAAAAAATTAGTGGACCCTGCCTGTGTGGCTTTTGCCTTGTGGTTTGCAGAAGAGATGCTTTTGTATGCGACTGTTTTCTGTTTGAAATGGTTTTTGCACTGTTTTTAACAAAGCCCTTGACGAGGCACTTAAGATATTAACCAGCTTCAGCAGATCATGCGTCTGACGGGAACGCCCCCTGCCTATCTCATTAACAGGATGCCCAGCCACGAGGTGAGACTGAGCACAGGGCTGGGCAGGGCAGGGCTGCACTCACAGTCACCACTTCTGCCAGCTGAATGCTTGCATGTGGCATGGGGTGGGCAATTAACGACCTGCTCTTCTGCAAGGTGTTTGTGCTGCAGGAAGGTGTGAGGTTTGGACAGTGCAAAAAGGATGTGTGAGACCAGGGAGAGCCTGCCTGTGAGCTGGTCTTGATTCTGGGCTGTGCTGTGCAGCTCAGCAAAGCACAGCAGGCTGCACCCAGCCTTGCTGGGACACCAGGGGCTCAGCTCTTCTGTGCCTCTCTGCTTTCCAGTCTTTGCCACAAGTGATGTCAGCTCTTCCTCTACTGTCTGGAGTGCCTTAGTTGGGACAGGGTAATGCTCATGTGCTTAGTAGGTGTCAGAGTAAGCAAGGAGACAGACCATGATAACCAGTGCTTCAGGATGGTTGAAAAGTACTTGATCTTGCTGGCTGGATATTGTCTGATACTTCAACAGAGCATTTATTTCCACAGGCAAGAAACTACATCCAGTCTTTGTCTTACATGCCGAAGATGAACTTTGAAAACGTGTTTATTGGTGCCAATCCCCTGGGTAAGACCTGATTATTAAATTTTCCTGAAACTGAAGCTAGCATGTCCTGGGACACAGAGATTCCCAAAGCTTTGCTCTGGCTGCAGGAGCAGTGCAGAACAGGGTTATGTTTACAGGGATGTGTGGGCCAAGGGTGTAAGAGGAAGAAAATGCTGGATGATGGCGGGTGCTGCAAAACTACAGATTCCTCATCTGTGTTGGGCTTTTAGAAGCTGTACGTTTCAGAGTAGAGCTCATGTGAGAGATCCTGTGTGTGTGGTGCTCTTGCAGCCGTGGACTTGCTGGAGAAGATGCTGGTCCTGGACACGGACAAACGCATCACGGCGGCCGAGGCGCTGGCCCACGCCTACTTCGCGCAGTACCACGACCCCGACGACGAACCCGTGGCAGACCCCTACGACCAGTCCTTTGAAAGCAGAGAACTTGAGATTGAAGAATGGAAAAGTGAGTCTGGGGGAGGGGAGAGACAGCTTCTCTTGTGGTTGTAGAATCATGGAATAGCCTGAGTTGGAAGGACACACAGGGATCGTGGAGTCCGACCCCTGGCCCTGCACAGGGGTCCTGTAGAACCCCAAAATCCCACCCTGGGCATCCCTGAGAGCATTGTCCAAATGCTCCTGGAGCTCTGGCAGCCTCAGGGCTGTGCCCATCCCCTGGGGAGCCTGGGCAGTGCCCAGCACCCTCTGGGGGAAGAACCTTTCCCTGATACCCAGCCCAACCCTCCTCACCAGCTCCAGCTGCTCCCTTGGGTGCTGTCACTGCTCACAGAGAGCAGAGATTGGAGCTGCCCCTCTCAGACCCTGGTGAGTCTCCTCTCAGTCTTCTCTCCATCCCATGAACTGAGGTTCAGCTAAGCCATGGTAGAGGCACAGCAGAAGGTGATAAAATGTGGGCATCCTGTTCATTCTGTCCTTACATTCAGTGAATCTGCCACATGCTGTGTGCATAGTTAGCATAGTCCCTGGTAACTAATTACTACTAGGAGCACACAAACATATCCTTGTTTTCAGACTTACATCTCAATGCTCTGGAAGTATCTTTTATTGTGTATGTTGGTCTCTGAGAGCAGTGTAACCATTCTTTTCTTCTTTGTCTTAATTAAACAGTACTTTTTGTTTAAAATACTGTTAGAACACTTGATTGTTGCAGGTTTTCTTGCATGAAGGTGTGTCTGGTAGTGCTGTCATAGTCCTGCTGCTGAACTTCTGTCCCTCTTCTCCCCCCAGGCCTGACTTATGATGAAGTAATCAGCTTTGTGCCACCCCCGCTTGACCAGGAGGAGATGGAGTCCTGAGAAACTGCTCTCTTCTGTTTGTCCCACTTCACTGTGAAGGGAAGGCCTTTTCATAGGGACTCTCCAATTATCGTTCAAGTGCCTCATCACAACAATATTCTCCTTAGTGGAGGGGTTTTGTGTGTGTTGAACTGGGGAGGGAGGGGGGAGGGAAGGAAGCTGAGTCTATGTAAACATGCTGCATGCTCTTGTATTCTGTGTACAGCCTGGGGCAAGCCTCTGGAGACCTGTTCTGACTGCACTTAGTTCTTCCAGAGTAACAGTGCACCACCAGTCTGCACTGCTGGGGTGAGGTGAGGAAGGTGACAGTGACAGTTTGGTTGCAATCATTGCCATTTATCAATTCTCCTACAACTGAGTAACCTCAAAAAGAATGAAAGTTGGTTTGTAGGCTTAGAGAGTCCTCTGTTTTCTTCAGGACTGAAGGTGGGGTTGAGGGATGTCCTTGTTCAGTGCCAGGCGTGTGATTGACATCCAGATCTTCCTGGTACAGCAGAGTGTAGAGGCCTCCTGGTGTCTGATTCTTGGAACATGAACAGATGTTGTTTGAAACTGTAAATATGTTTGTGCCTTAAATAAATGGGGAGAGAGGGGAAGGGAAGTCTGGGGTGGAACTCTGACCCACTGTTCTTGAGTGAAGGCTCCCAGGCAGCAAGGCATGAACTCAATGGGATTGGGAAGGAACTCTGAGGCAACAACTTCAACCCCTGGATTGGGTATTCCTGTGTTTCTCACTTTCCTCCTCCTCTTGTTCTGAGGCTTCTCAGCATTGTCTCCCAGGAGCCAGAGGTTGGGGAAATCCTTGCTAGCCACACGTTTGTGTATTCTGTTCCCTACAAGGTGGTGTGTTTTTGCATGTTGTAGCTGTATGTGCATGTAGAGCTGCTTGATTTTTGTCCTTACTTTTTGGGGATGGCACTGGGGGCAGTTCAATCAGTGAAATGTTTGCTGAGTACCTCAGGCAGTGCCATAAAATCACAGCACCCTTCCTCCTGTGCTGCAGCTCCTTGTGAAATCCCTGCCATCCTGGAGGCTTCAACAAGGGAGGGGAGTTGTGTCCAACAACAGAAACATGCACCTTTTTCTTTGTTCTGACCTCTCTGCAGAGGAGGAGAGCTTGGGTGGAAAGGTTTCTTGTGAGATCAAGTGTAAAAAACATTCTTTAAAGAAATGACTATAGTATCTTGTGCCAGAACTTAAGTTATTTCCTGAAAAGATTTTTTTTTAGAAGTATTGGAACCCAAAGCAAAGAAATAAGCATGCATAAACACACAATCACCCTTTCACTGTCTATATCTATAAATACAAATATTTATATACATAAAACTAACATTTACTAGAAGTTTTTTTATCCTCTCACATAAGAGCTTCTTGGATATTTCTTAGCAGGTTGATCTCTGCCCGAGGAAACATGAGAAGGGAGTATGTTTGAAACAAACATGGTTCAAATATTTTGTATTTTCCAGGACTCTGCATGAGTGAAGTGCCCAGAGTGAGAGGCTGGCAGGAGGGAGGTTTCTCAGCATGGTTGTGTGCTCCATCTCTAGCTGGGGATCTCAGGAGCCCAATTTTAGGGCTTCTGGAGGAAACATTTTTAGACTTTTTAACTTGTTGCAGGCATCCTGTGTGGGCAATGTACCCGTGTATGTGAGGAGAAAGGCTTTTGCAGTATTTTGTATTCCTGTTACCTGTGGGGCAGAGAGTGTTTTTGTAGTGGTTTTGCCCCATGTTTGAAGAGGCAGCACAAAGGGATGGGACGTGGATGACAAAGCCATTGATTCTTCCTGGGTGACTTCCCAGCAGTCTCTTCAGGCCAAGAGTTCAAGAAAGGTCTGGGCTGAGATGCAGAGAGCAGCTCTGTTGTGCTCTAGGATAAAACTCTCCACAGCCCAACAAAATCAAGACAAAAAACCTCCCTTTTCTGCTGGGCCAGCAGTCTGGGTATTCAAATAAAAATGTAGATACACTATGTAAACCTACAGCAAGATTATTTTTATCAGCCATTCTCTGTGTAGATGCTACAGTGTGATTTCATGCGGAAATATTGCTAAAGATTTTTAAAAGCTCTCGGTGTCGTGTGTGTGGGTGTGTCTGTGTGTGTGAGTGGGAATGGTTCATTGGAGTCTGTCCTCTGAGGGAGCCCTGGGGCACAAACTCCCTGCTGCCAGTGCTGCTGTGCTCGGCTGCTGGGCACCGTGCTGCACCCAGAAGCAGAGATCTGCTATTTTGTTCCTATCCATGGATTTTGCTGTAATTGGTAATGCCAGATAAGATGTCACAATACCACTGGTTAAAAATAAAATCTATTTTTCAGATTTACTGCACTGCTGGTACTTGGAAAGCTCTTGCACTGGGAAGTGTTGGGTTTTAGCATGGTGTGGATTTCTCTGCTGTGCTCTGGGGGATCCTGGGTGTGAGGGCTGGGAGGGACAAGGTGGCTGGAGGCTGACTCTGCTGCTGTGGGGCTTCTTGTCTGTTTTCCCCCCATTCTAAAGTTTCCTGTTTGATTTGGTCACTGGAGTTAACTCATCTCAGTAGAGCCTGACCTGCCCCAGCTATCCAGGACTCCCTAATTGGGTGCTGAGTGCCTGTGTGTGCAGCAGCAGCTGAGCAAGGGCTGTGCTCATCAAATAACCCAGCAGTTACACGTTTGCTTAAGGACCAGGAGCTTTTGCTGTGACACCTCTTGCTCACAGGTGTATTTATAGACCCAGCCAAGCTGTGGATTACACAGATTGTGCCCTGGTGCCTTGCCCCTGTTTGTGTTTGTGCACAGCAGGCTCTGCTGGGCTGCTCCAAGAGCGTAAGGGCCAATGCAGTGGTTGCACATAAAGGGAATTTCCCCCACCCCCTTGTTGTTCTTTTGCTGTAGGGACACCTTTGCAGGGCCCTGTGTGGAAGGAGCAGAGGCTCTGGGCAGGGTTGGAGGGCTGCTGGGGTAGAACACTGCAAGCAGCTGGGCTGGCTTGGTAAGGCTCGGCTTAGTCACTTCCTCTGGGGAGTGGGGAGGATGCACCTCCTGTGTGGGAGCCCCGCCTGAGCCTGCCCGTGCTGGGGTGAATTCTGAGGTGCTTTCTGCTTCCCAGGAGTGCTCCTCGTGGGCTGGGGGTGCTGGGCTGGTCGGTCACAGCCACGGCGGTGACCACGGGCTTTGTTTTGTCCGAGAAGAGCCAGGAAGGGCCGAGAGCTGCTGCAGGAGACGAGACCGCACCCAGCAAAGCCTGGGGCACAAAGCGTGGGGCTGTTCCCATCCCAGAGCTGCTCCTGGAACCCTGGAGAACCTCAGCCTGCTGTCAGCACCTCCCCACGCTGCTGGCAAGCCGGGCTCAGGAGAAAATGGCCATCGATGTGACTTTGTCACGAGCTGTCCATCGCCTTCGAGAGGATGTCCCTGCTGTCTGTGGCTTGTCGTTCGGATTCCCCGGCTCGGCGAGTCCTTACTCATCCCCTCGTTTGGAGGAGGGTTTCACGAGCTCTCGTGAGGATGCTTCCGGGCTGATGGAGCAGCGGAGCGGGAGCTGCGGGTGACAGGGCTGGCGGAGGCGTGCCGAGCCGGGCCGGCTGCTCCCGTCCTGCTGCCGCCGAGCCAGAGGCACCTGCCCGGCACCGAGGCGTGTCAGGAAACCTGATGCCTCACCTCTGCCAATGTGGAGGCGGAGGGAGGAGGGCCCAAAGACATGTCCCTTCACGCTCGCACCAGCTGAAAACAGAGCAGGAAAGTCGCTAGAGCGTTTTCCAGCAGCGCAGGAAGCCTCCCTGCCCCGCTCTCGCCCCAGAAGCCCTCCCGTACTCCACTACTCTGGGGGGGTGGCTGTCCCGCACCCGCCGGGCGATGAACATCGCAAGGAGAAGAGGCTTCTACAGACAGGAGGTGAACAGCACGCTCTGGGAGCTGCCCAGGAGATACACATCCCTGCACCCGCTGGGCTCCGGGGCCTACGGCTCCGTCTGGTGAGTGGGGTCCTGCCCGGGCGGGGGTTCCGTGCCGGGGGGAGCGAGGAGGCGCTTGGCAGAACCCCTCCATTATTGAGGAAGGACATTTGCATGTGTGATGGGGACAGGATGGCTCCTGCTGAAGAACATGGGCAGGGCAGGGGTGGCGGGGAAGCCGAGCGTCACCTCGGCACTGGGGTCAGGCCGATTTTGGGCTGCTCTGGACTCCAGCTTGAGTTGAAGTGCACTGGGGTCAGGCCGATTTTGAGCTGCTCTGGACTCCAGCTTGAGTTGAAGTTCCTGTCTGCTAGCACAGACAGAGGCGGGGGAATCCCTGGAAAGAGATTTGTGGGTGACTGCAGAGGTGGGAGCTGGAGCAGGGTGTCCTTGCTGCTCAGCCCCGGGCAGATGAAGCAGCTGGACAATACCCTGATACAGCTTCCGACCCCCACCCTGATACAGCTTCCAGTCTGGAATCATAAATTGGGTAGAAATTACTGCAAACCAGGATCAGTAACAGACAGATTTCCTCATGGCTGATGATAAATCCCAGCCTACAAGAGAGCAGCAGGAGCTGCTGTTCATTGCTCAGCCAGGCAAAGGTGCCTGAAGCAAGAGCGAGCACAAGGCAGACGCTGCTGGCTTGGCACTGACACACCAGAGATGGGCAGCCCTGAGAGGTTAAATGTGAAACAGCCCATTGATAGCATCTGAACAGAGCCCTTATTTCATAACATGCTGAGCTAAAAATAAATGAAAAAAAAAAAAAAAGGTGTGTCCGTTTTCATAGGTGTTGGGCAAAGTCTGCCACTGGCACTAATCCTGAAACCCTGGCGTCCAGGTTTTGTCCTTTTCCAGAGAGGCACTCACTGGCTGCCCAGATGTGTTTATGCCTCTTAAATTCTTAAGTAAGTCCTGCAAAATCAGGCAGGATTAGACTTGACTTTTAATTTATATTTGTACAGTGTTCTCTGATTTTTATCACAGAGAAAATCAGGAAGAAAAATAAAGACAGGGAAAAAAAAAAAAAAAAGGAAGAGAGAAATCTTTTCAAGTTTCCTTGCCCAGCCGAAAAATACAAACATCAAAAGAAACCTTTACTGGTCCCTGTAAAACTCTCGGCTGCTCTGGAGCTCTCAAGGGAGGCTGAAGCAGCCGGGGCTGCGTGGTCGTTTTGAATGGACAGAGCTCAGCAGGGAGAGCTCGGGGCTGAGTCCTGTACAAAGCTGAGGCAGAAATGTGGAGCTAGGATTTGCTGTCCTCTGCTGGGAATTGCTGGGAAAATTTCCTATTGCAGCGTTTTGCAGCAGCGGCTTTTACACCTTCTTGAGCAGCTGAGAAAGTAACTCAGGAGAAACAGCAAGGGCTTGCTTCTGCCCTTATTAATTTGCCAAAATCTGTAGAGATTTGGCTTCCAGCTGAGTGTGACTGTGAAACAAGGATCTTCTGACCCCTCCAATGCTGCTCCTGCCAATCTCTGCCAGCCAAGGTCTGAGTCCCTTCCTCTTATTTTCCTGGCTCTTCCAAAAATTTTACACAGTGCTGTCCCCTCTGCTGAAGTCCTGGAACGGAGACAAAACCTCACTGAGAGTCCTCCTAGGACACCCTGCAGCATCTTCAGCACTCCAGCTGCCTTGTGTTCCTGCACTTCTGTGCTTCTCCTGACTGGATATTTGTCAGTGCAGGGCTGGAGGGTGCAGCTGGAAGCCATGGCATTGAATGTGATGATTTACAGCTCTTCTGTTCCTGTGGGAGATGGGACAGGGATTTCCAAAGCAGAGGGAACAGTGGGATTTGGCAGGAAAATCCTTTTTTTTTTTTCATCTGTTTGCCTCTTGGGAGGGGTCAAGGAGGGGCTGAGACACCCCTGGAAATCACCACTGAGAACCCTGAGTTCCAGCTGTCTGTCTGAGGACCTCCCTTCCCTCCTGGAAATCTGAGCAAGGAGCCTCCAGAGGGAGAGGAGCTGTCACAGGAATGCTGTGCCCAGCTGCAAACAGCTGGAATAACACAGCATAATAATGCCTGCAGCAATGGCTGCTGCACCAGGTTTTCATCAGCTCCAGAGAAGTCTCATTTTCAGCCAGACCTGCTCTTACACAGAAGTGAATATGTAATCAAGGATTCTGAGCACAGCAGGATTAATTGCAGCAGCATTTTCAACATGTGACATCCAGTCTTTGCTCCAGAGTACAGTGAAGGCAGCTGGTCTGCCCTGAAACACAACAACCTCCAAGCAGATGGCAAAGCAGAAATTACAATATCTTTTTTCCCTTATCTCCATGCATTAAGGAGGGAGAAGGCAGAGTTAGAACTAATTCTGACCTTTAACCACTTGTGTTTCCCCTATCTCTTAGCTCTGTTATCTCCAGCTCATTTCTGCAGGTTGAAGGGAATAAAGATGAGCCACTTGTGCTTTTCTTGGTGTCCCACCTCATCCCCCAAAGAGCTCAGGCTGCCCAAAGCCACACAGGGCTCCACTGAGCTCCTCAAAGGACCTTCCTCTGCTGTGCTGCAAGCACAGGAGCCAGCTCTTCTCTAGGAACCTCTGGGGTTGCAGACTCTGTTCAAACATTCCACTGACATCAGGATGGTTTTTTATTTGCCTGCTGCAGCTCAGCCATAGACAAGAAGACAGGGGAGAAAGTGGCCATCAAGAAGCTGTGTCGCCCCTTCCAGTCAGAGATCTTTGCCAAGAGAGCCTACAGAGAGCTGATGCTGTTGAAGCACATGCAGCACGAGAATGTGAGTGCTCATTTCTCCTCTTCCTGCTGACACGGGGGGTGTTTCCTTGCCACCTTTTGGTGGCATCACCCGTGTTTTAATTGACATTTGGTATGTGCAGGCTGTCTCAGGGATTACCTGTGACCTGTTTGCTGTGCCCAGGATGGAGCAGGTGTGTAATGGGTGAGCCCAGGTGTTAGTAAGAGGGAAAACATTTATGCAGCATCACTGAGGAGTCCCTGGCTTCCTCAGGTGGAATTTACTGTGTTCACCCACGTGCATGTGCCAGTGGAGAGCTGATCAGTGCAATGAGCACAGCAAATTCTTTCCAGATTTAAATGTGGGCTTCTCTCCTTCCTCAGGTCATTGGGCTGCTTGATGTCTTCACCTCCACTGCCTCCTACCAGGGGTTCCAGGACTTGTAAGTCTGGAGTTCTTTGCTCTCTGTAGACTTTATTTTCCAAGACAGCTGAGTCTTAGCAGCAGCACAACAGAGAGGGTTGGGGTGCAAAGGGACCAGACTAGAACCCAGGCATCCCCAGATAACACAGAGAACCAAGAGCACACCTCAGCTGCCATGGCTGACACACCCAGACCACGTCAGCAGATCCCAGCCCTGCTCCCAGCTGGGCCACCAGAGCAGGCACAGACCAACCTGTGCAGTGAGGATGTGTTGCATTCCATGGTGCATCACACCAGGGTGATCCATGCCAGCACTGTGTGACTGCTGAGCTGAGGGGCTGCACTCAGAACAGGAAAAGTATTGTTCATCAGGCCTCAGGACAATTAAGCTCAGAATTTGAAAGATCTGTCCCTCTTTTCCTCTTAATTCTGGCTCTTCTCAATGATTTTTTTTGGCATTTTCCCTCCACGTTCATGGCCACGTTGGACAAGTCCTTTTTCCTTCCCCATCACTGCAGATGAGCAGTGTGTGCCTGGGTTTGGGGTTTGGCTGATGCTGAGTGTTAGCAGCCTGCAGGAAGAGCATTGAAGGGTCTCAGAGCAGTTCCTGCAGGAAGACCATCAGTTAATTAGCAGCCTCAGCAGGCAGGTACTGAAGGAAGCTGGATGTTGTCTTCTGAGGCAGGGCTGGAGAACATTGCAATGACAAATTTGGGAGCCAGTGCAGCTGCTTTGCTGTGTGAGATGTTTCAGCTCCTGGATGGTGAAAAGCTGCCCAACACTGAACTTCACTTGAAATCTAAACTAACTCAGGATCTGAAGATCCTTGTTCTTACTTGACATCAGATATCTGATTTCAGAGGAGGAGAAAGAACAATTTTCAGAACAGGTTGAAATTCCAACTTCTCTGCAGGATGAGCTGGTTAGCCAGGAACACTGTCACAACAACTCATCCTCCTCACAGTGAGTTACACAGCCAGAAACACCAAACCAAGTGAGAACAAGGCTAGTCTGGTCCCCTGCATTTTTCTTCCAGGCTCAGGGCCTTGTCTTACTGCCTTTTAGCTACCTGGTGATGCCATACATGCGGACAGATTTACAAAAGATCATGGGACATGAATTCAGTGATGAAAAGATCCAGTACCTGGTCTACCAAATGCTGAAAGGGCTGAAGGTAGGTGGGTCTGGAGGAGTTAGTGACTCCCTGTGTCTCCTCGGCGTGTCACCTCTGGGTTGACCCTAACTGAACTCCCCTCCAGTACTGTACAGGAGGATGTGGGGAGTTCATGGCATCCCCCCAGAACAGGCAGTGGCTGTTGAACCATTCCTGGTCCAGCACACATCAATAAAATGAGTGTTTGCTTTCATCAGTCAGGTGGGTATCACAGCAATCAGCAGCCACAGGCCCTGGGATGGTTTTTCCATGGCAGCACTTGTTTCTGTCTCTGCCTTGCCCAAACCCTCAGCAGAACTCTGCACAGAGAGGGGGACACTGGCAGGAGCAGGAGCCCCTCTGAACCTGCCAGAGGCTCTCGGGGGAGAGGACAGAGGGAATGATTTTCTGTTCAGCACCATAAGGAAGGAATATGTTTCTCTAACTTTGAGGGAGCTGAAAGCAATCCCTGCAAACTCTGGGATGTAGAGACAGAGCTTTGCAGCTGTCCTCTGACACCCTTCACCTGGAGTCACAGCCGTGGCTTGCAGGCATCAGTGGGTTCACCTCACTCACACCTCTCCCCAGGTCACTGCTACCTTGAGCTTAAATAAGGGGGGAAGAACACACAGAAGGTTTGACTGGTATGCTAAAAACCCTGAAGTCAGTTTTGCAATTTTATGTTTTTGGGCCGAGATTATTTTTTTGAACACCCAAAACAACCATGTTCTCATGTCATCTGCTGTAACCCTGATGACTTTGATAGTTTGAAGCTGTTTTACTTGCTCTGAGGAGCTTCATCCCTCCTCTTCTGCTCTGTGCATCTTCTTTAGACTGGCAACAGCACTCTAAATACTGTCAGTAATTTGGGGCAGAAATTTCTTTTCAAACTGCTGCCCTAGGGACCAGGGACCTGTGGAAGGCTGCAGAGGTTTGTTCTCAGCAAGTTCTTGTTTGTAGTTCTTGTTTCTCTGCTGGATAACAGAGAATTTTGTCTGCTGGTGATCACATTGTGGCTCCTCTTTTTATTGCAGTATATTCACTCAGCTGGCATCGTCCACAGGGTAAGTTCATGTGTGCTCTTATTCTGATTTCTGTCTGAGAAACACAGCATAGTCATAAAGTTAATAAATTCCTAACCATCATTTCACTAATAGCATTGTCTGCTCTAATTTTCCATCCTGTCTGCTCTCTTTTCCATCCTACACCCTATATATGTTTGGAATTGTTAATTTTTGCAGGATTTTGAGAAAATACTGTATTTTCTGATGAGCTTAGAAGCATTTTATGATGCTTTTTGAATTAAAACTGTTCCAGAAAATAATCAAATAGTAACCTAATACTGTACAGTACAGCAGGCATGGTGTTTATTCAGTCATTTGCTGAATTGATGCTGAACCTGGGGTGTTATAGGACCCCATCAAAAACAAGCAGAGGTTCAACTGAGAATTTTGTTGATGTATTACAGCTTGAAACATCCAATTTTTCTGCTCCTGTCTGTTGTAGGACCTGAAGCCAAGTAACCTGGCTGTGAATGAAGACTGCCAGCTGAAGGTAGGTGGCAAAGCAGCATTTGCAGCACATCAGCTCGTGGGGGAAGTGCTCTGGCAGCAGGAAACTGGCACTGTCATGTTTCCTCTTTCCTCCCGAGCCTCCATTCCAGGCGTTGTGTTCCTTGGGCTGCAGCAGTGGGAAATGCTCCCCTGCTGATGTCACTTGCTGAATCAGGACACAAGACCTCAAATGAGCCTTCTGCCACTGTAATCCTCGTGGATGGCAGTGTGTAATGACTTCCTAGAGAAATTCAGCACTGCTGAGCAATACTTGCAGAGGTGAATGATCCCTGAAGGGGAACTGCATTCAGCTGCAGGTGCCCTTTGGTTCTCATGGACCTTGTGGTTGTTATTCCAGACAAAGTCATTTTCAGGGTTGCTCTGAAGGGTTCCTTTGGTTCTCATGGACCTTGTGGTTGTTATTCCAGAGATTTTCAGGGTTGCTCTGAAGGGTTTGCCTGCTGCTGGCTGGTGGGGTGCTCTAGCATGCATTTTCTGTAATGTATATTTCAGGGAGTGGCTCTGCTGCCCATAAAGGTTGGGTCAAGCTTGTTCATCTTCAGCATTGAGGGAGAGGCCATGCTGTGTCACCTGCAAGGTGTTCTTATAGGAAAGGGTGAGTTGTGGTGACCTGGGAGCACGCCTTCACCACCAGCTCACAGACCAACTCCAATAAAGCACATTGACTCAAAACTTAAGCTTCAAGAAAGGCAGTGACCTTCCAGGGAGCACAAAGCACTGATCCTTTCAGCAGGGACCTCTCATGACAACAGGGTTTGCAGCTGGCTTGCAATTTACAGTGGAATTAAGATACATAAATTCTTTGAGCCATCCCATGGGTGCCTGTGGTGTAGTTGGAGCTTTGTTATTGTCTGATTGGAGCTACTCCATTTCCCCTTAGAAGCAGAGTCTCACTTGCCCATAGGATTTCTCTTTTCTCTCCTGCCCTCCATTTCCCTCATTCTTCCTTTGGCACTGCAGATCTTGGATTTTGGCCTGGCCAGGCAGGCTGATGCAGAGATGACTGGCTACGTGGTCACACGGTGGTACAGAGCCCCAGAGGTCATCCTCAACTGGATGCACTACAACCAGACAGGTGAGCAGCCCTGCCCCAGCCTGGGACTCCCTGCTGGTGAGCTGGGGGATCCTGCTGGCTCAAATCTCACTGAATTGTCCAGTTGTTTTTTTCCTCGTTTTCATCAGTGTTCCCTGGAGCAGAGCAGGTCCCAGAGGTGTTGCACAACTCCCAGAGCTGCTGCTTGCAGGAATTATGAAAGCAGAGATTTTAGCAGCATAGAAAGAACAGAAGAGGGTGGGAGTGAAATTTAAATCAGTGCTTAGTGCAAGCAACAGCAAAAGTGACAGCCCCAGCAACCACTGCTGCCTTTCTAATTTTTTTTTCCCTTCCTTTTTCCCCCTCTCTCTTTTTTCTCTCTGAACAGTGGATATCTGGTCTATTGGCTGTATCATGGCAGAAATGCTGACTGGGAAAACACTCTTTAAAGGAAAAGACTGTATCCTTTCAAGCTAAGCCTTTTGCATCAGCAGAGTAAAAATTCTTAGTGTGTGCGGAAGGGTTTTTTATGAATGAGGCTACTGAGAAAAAGAGGTGTCAGACTGGTTTATCAGGACATAATCACAAGGACCAGAAATGCACCTCTGTGGTGGGGTGGTTCTTCATCAGCTGTTCAAAATTGTGTGGCCATAGCTCCATTCCCAAAGCTTTGCACATCCTTCCAGGCCCATGGATGTGTGTTCTGGCATAGCTGTGCCAGAAAAATGATCTGTTGATGGAAATGCCATTCCAGGAAAGGCTTGGAGCTCTTTTTGCCAGTGTAATGAGTCTCTGCTGGTGTGACTATGGTGGGTTTGTGTCATGAGCTAATTGTACTCTCACAGGCTGAGATGGGCTGGGGCTTTGCTCCTCAAAGGGTGATCTTTAACACAGCTTGCCAGACCTGGATCAACTGACCCAGATCCTGAAGGTAACAGGGCATCCAGGAGAGGACTTCTTGGAGAAGCTGGAGGACAAAGCGGTAAGGAAGCTCCTGTGGGTTTGGGTCCTGACTTGTGCTTGGCATGGGAGAAGTGCTGCCTCTACAGCAGCAAGGAAATGCCATTTTTCCCAAGCAAGGAAGGCATTTCTCTGTGCTGGTGGCACAGCTGATGGACCTGGTGCTGCCTTGGGAATGGCTGTGTTTGGTAGGGACTCCCATGTGAGGTGCCTGATGCCCCAGCAAACCAATCTTTGTTCTCCTGCTGGACTCTTAAAACAGAAGTATTTCTCTGTCTTCACTGATAAAAAAGTTCCTTGTAAACTGCTGAAATGGGACATCTGGAATGCTTTGCTCTTCTCTCCACTTGCTGAGACTGAGAGCTGTATTTCACCTGTCCATGTGCAGTAACTGTGTTTTCCTTGCTCTTTCAGGCAAAGAGTTATATCAAGTCCCTTCCTAAAATCCCCAAGAAGGATTTGTCTGTGCTTTTCCCTAAAGCAAATCCTCAGGGTAAGTAACCTCCAGCATTTCTCATGAGTTTTCACAGCAGGCTGACTGCCACAGCCCCAACTTTATTTCTCCTCCTCATAATTTCTTGGTACTTTTTTCCCTTGCAGTTTGGCCCTTCCTCAGGGAAAATGCATCAGTTAAAAGCAGAATTATCTTTTATTTGCATTACAGTGGTGATGTTCTGCTGCTCTTGGCCATTTACTACTTTTTAAAAAATATTGTTATTTTTAAGTACAGTGTAGAACCTGGATCTAGCAATATTTAACAGACAACTGATGTGAAATTTTCAGGGTAAAAAATAATCTCTTAGAAAGAGCTCTCTTCCCAGGAAGGTTAGAGGTGAGAGCAAGCAAAACTCTTCTAGAAACAGAATGGAAGAAAGTCTTAAAATGTCAAAACCAATTGGGAATGGGGCTGATCTGAGTTTCCTGCCCTCCTCTCTACCAGGGATATATAGGTTTCTATGCAGATTACCCATGTTAAGACTCCTTTGAGATGCAGGGCTCTGAATGAAAGAAAATTATTAAAACTGAAAAATATCTTGAGGTTACTGGTTTGCTTCTCATGTTTCTGCAGCCCAATCTGTGCAGCAAGGCTTATTCAGGTCTAATTTGTTATTTCTGCACAATTTAACTTCTGTTAGTAAGAGCTCCCTGAGGCTGTTGTTGGGCAGACTTTGCATCTCCACTGATGGGAGCTCCTTGCTGCCTTGGCCAGGCTGAGGATTCTCCTGGTCAGGTCTGGAGATGAAACACTGGAAATACCAGTGCCACAGCTGCAGGGTTCATGCACGGGCTGCCTGTGCTCCCCTGCACCTTCCCAGCCCTGCTCCCTTCCTGCACAGCTGTGGACCTGCTTGACAAGATGCTGCAGCTGGATGTGGAAAAGCGCCTTACAGCAACAGAGGCCTTGGCTCACCCCTACTTCGAGCAGTTCCGGGATATTGAGGAGGAGACAGAGGCACAGCACTCCTATGATGATTCTCTGGAACATGAAAAGCTTTCCATAGAGGAGTGGAAAAGTAAGAAGTTGATTTTCTTTGAGGTTCCTGTCTAGTGTGGGACTCTCCTACCCCTCTTTCTTTCCTGTACAGATGCTGAGTGAAGCTGTGTTTGCCTGCTGATGCCTCAGTGGTGGTGCACAGATCTCTGGTTTTTATCCATTCAGCAAAGATCCCTCCAACTCTTCAGGCAGACTTTTTTGTCTCTCTTCCTTTGCCTCTTTCAGCTGCCACTGAGTGCCTTTTTCTGCACATCCAACACTCCAGCTTTTATTTGTTTCCTCTAAAATCACACATTAATGGTTATTTTGTTCTGTTTTTCAAGAGCACATTTACAAGGAGATCTTGACCTTCAGTCCCATTGCACGGAAGGATTCAAAGAAGAGAAGTGGGATGTCGTTATAGCCATGGGTGCAGCTGTGCCTGGGACTCAGTTCTCCCTGGTGACATCAGATTCATTCCACACTGCCTTGCTGCTGGCCAACTTCTGCCCCGTGGGACCTCTCTCTGTGTGCCAGCACAAGGATGACACAGTGCTGTGGGCATTGGACTTTGTTCTTCTAAAGGGGAAGCACTCCAGACAGTTTTCAACATAAAGACAAATATATTCTTGTTGAAACTTTAAGTGAGAGAATTTTACCTGGTGTTTCCTTTTTTTTTCCCCCCTGTATTTGTCCACTTGAGAGAGGAGGGGTTTCACTCTTTCTCATTAGTCTTTTCAAGCACAGAATTTAGTACATTAATTATGGATGAGGTAAAGAAAATGGTAAAATTGCCTAGGAAGTGAGTCCTAAGCAAAAGATCAGAAATACTGAATTTCAGCATAACAAGACCTTAGCCAATCTCACTCTGGCTGTGTGCTGCTTCCCCGAGCAGTCACAGAGCACCAGCAGAGCAAGGCTGTGGGACAGTGTCAGCTCCAGGGCACCAAGGGATCAGCCTGTGTTCAGAGCAGCTACAAACTCATCCTCTCATCTTACACTCACAATTCTGCACAGCTGCTTCCCCTCCAAAGAGCCACTGCCTCTTTTTTTTGTTTTTTGTTTTGTTTTGTTTTTCCCCTGCTTATTTAATTCCCTGGGATTTGATCAGTGCTGTCTCCTCCTCACTGCAGGCAGCAAACACAGCCTGGGAATTTGAGGCCACTTCCCACAGTGACAGACTGGGAGTCCCAAGCAGCTGCACAAGTGACTTTGAATATGGATCTGCAGCACAGTTTCCAGCCTGTGCTGAAACTGGAGTATCTGCAGATCCACAGCTTATCAATACAGTCACTTGATAGTGCAGGCACAGGTGCTCGTTGTGATAACACCTTTGGACTGCAACACCTTCCCTAGGGAGATCAGGTAAGCTCAGGCAGTCATTCCAAAGTCCATCCCAAGGGATATGTGCCAAGAGCCAAGGGCCTTCTCTGTATCAGAGCTCAGAGCACAGAGCCCCCAGGACTAGAGAAATGTATTTGACCTCAGTTATATTTGACCCCTCTTCTATGGCTGCTGTTTTGGTTTGGTTTAGCCAGGTTGGTTGTTTTCAGTACTCTCTAATTTTCTTAAGCAATGTTCATTTTTGCTGTACAGACCACAAGTAAGGAAAAACTGCAACGTTTCCAGAATGTTCTGATCTCTCTTCTCCACTGGGAACTGGACAGTGATGTCACATTGCTTGGCTGCCTCCCTGCTGCAGCTCATGGCATGCAGCACTGGGGATAACCCTGCAGCTTTTTGATAGGGTGGTGTTGATGTTTGCCTGCTGCAGCTGCACAGATGGGCCATGATGATAAGATGAGGTTTCTCCTGGCTCCTATCTGTCTGGGTCATGTACGAGGCCTTTGCCCCACTCTTCTCTTAGGTAGGGACAGTGAGCACAGAACTGTTGTGATGTGTCCTCAATTCCCTGAGAATTCAATGTTTTCTTATGCAGAAAGTCATCTCCAAAGTCAAAGGCATCTGTTAAGGCCAGATTCAGACAGAATTCATGAACCCCAAAATGGGAATGCAGGGTATTTCTTATCATCTTGCCCTCCTTCAGAAGGGGATAGGTAGACCTGAAGAGTCTTCTGTCTCAATAATGATGGCTGAGGGACAAAACATCTTCATGATAAAGGAATATACTGAGCAGTCTGAAGGTAGTTGAAAAGAGACTTGGATAGTTGTAAAGAATAATTTAAAATGCCCTTTGGGAATTGTCTGTCTGAGCAGAGGACAAGCATGAAGAGGCACTGGGGACATGTGATACAAATAGGTGTGAGAAGAATTCTGCAAACATTAGCCTCACTTGTTTTAGGGACAGCACATAAAGGCTCTTCAGCATCAGTCTTTCTGCTGAATACACACCCAGTTTCAGGGTTTCTGAGTTTCTTGGGAGGTTTACACTTCCCCTGAATGCTCTGAAATTGCAAGAGCAATCCCAACAGCTGCTGTGTGGGCTCCATGCTCTGGTTTCATTCATTCACCACCAACCCCATACACTGACAGAACACTGTGCAACAGGATTACCCAATACCCCAACAAATGGGGAGCAGGTGCTCTGGAAGCCCAGAACCCTGGAGGTGTATGCATATTTGGTTTTTTGTGGTATGTATCATCCAAGAACTCAAAATAGACAGCAGGAAATGTAGCAGGTTGGTAGTGGAAAGAGTATCTGTACAGACCAACCATCCCAGGGCTGCTGTGGCATCTGGGGACGTGTTTCAATGAACAGCAAGGAGAAGGGAGAGGTGGGGGGAAATCCTATTGACATGTCCTGAAAGGAGTTTGAAAAACACCTGCTTGACAGAGCCAGTGATGACTCAGGCCAAGGCTGGAATCCTTCACAATCAGCACCAGAACTGAGAGGGGGTGTGTGACCCTGACAGACACTGAGTCAAAGCAGAAATTACCTCACGCAGAGGTGCAGGCAGTGCCTGGTCCATGACTCACACTCACACATAATTCATGGACATTCCTTTCATTACAAGTATAGTTTACATACTTAAAAACACAAAACCAAGTGATAAAAATCCCTCAACCATTAAGTGGTCCAAAATTCCATAGATCAGGCCAGCCAAAAATATGTTTGCCGTTTGTATTAAGTTTCTATGATATAAATTTACACAGATATATGGATGGAATTTTTGTGCCTGTGTCAGATAACTTACAGATGTCTAACTTGGAATACTATTTACTTTGTATTCTTACATTAATTTCTGATTTCCAAGCATCTTTTTTTAATTTGGAAAATAAAGCCTTCAGAAACAATCTTTCTCTGTAAGTTTATTTTGACAGTTAATTAGGTCTGTGAAGTTGCAGCTTTATGGGGCCTATTTGTTAGGTATTTGCACATGTAAGTGGGAAAAAAAAAGCAGATGAAGGAATAATTATTTTATTTTCTTAAGAGATACCACAAAATTAGAGGATTTTTAAAGAGAGATAATAGTAGCTGTGTTTTGGATACCACCTAGAAACCTTTCAGTGCACAATTTTGAAAATTTCCACAGCCTCTTAGAAAACTACTTATTTTATCCTGTAGGAAAAAGACAGATTATCTGTTTTTATATTTAACATTTTCACATTCTAGGTTGCAGACTAAACAAATAATGTTCATGTTTTAAGTATGTGACAATGGGAAAGAAGAAAAACAAAAAATTCTAAACACATTTGAGAAGTGTAGTGAGATTCTGTACAAAGGATGGTGGTACCTTTTCATATTCCCATGTCTTGCTGTTGCCTGAGCAACCAGGGAAAGCGTTCCTAATCCTCTGCATTTTTCCTGTATCATGGGTCAGCAGAGTGTTGGCTGGAAACGTGATTATGGCTGTTTTTCTTTCCACAGCTGAGAGAAAAAAAGACATGAAAGATTGAATGAAGACCAGAATAGCCACTACTAATTTGCTTTTCCCCCAAAAGGGTGGACACTGGCTGCACTAATTGTAATTATCATGGAATCATTCAGCTTGGAAAAGGTCATTAAGATCATGGAGTCCAAATCCACACTGAAAATGTCACAGTTCCCAGGTGAATGAGGTTTAGGGGATGTTTTGCCTGATTTCTCTCTCCAAGGCCATTTTCTGAGCACACAGCTTTTAATGTGATGTTCAGCTGGTGCTGCCTCCCAGCTGATTCAGCCAGCTCTCCTTTTTTGTTGGAATGCACTCCATTAAATAACACTGAAGGGTTAGGATATTTGCAACCCTCATTGATTTGCTGTTACATGAAAGTGAGTTAACTTCTTTTAGCCAGGTTTGGCTGGAAAAATAAAAATTCTCCTGCCATAAACCATCATTTCAGATCTGCCTTCAGAATATTTCAACTGAAAAAAAATGTTTTAAAATTAGAAGACATTGAGATTAAAAAAATAAGGACCAGTGATGAGGTAGTGCTGGGTGCTTGTGTAACCTCTCTGATGTTAGTGAGGCTGAAGAGGGTTATAAATAGATAAGTAAAATTCCAGTGAAAATACAGGCTTATCACTTTTGAGATATCAGGTTTTAACCTTTAATGCACAAGGCACCTGTTTAGCAATTGCTCTGATTTCAGCAATTCTGAAGAAAACAGCAGCAGAACAAACAGCCAAAGAGAGATACAAACATAAGTCAGTTTTGAGGCTTAATAAATCAACAAAGAAAAAGGTCAGCTCTCAGTTCTAAACAATACTTCTCTTCCCTTTCTAGGTATGTCTTATATGCTTGAATAAACATGGAGAAAATTGTAATATGAATGAAGGTGCCCAACTCTGTTTGAGGTGTCTTGGCTTCTGCTTTCATTTGAAGCAACTAATTTTGCACTTGCACCCTTTAAAAACTGGGACAGGAAAGAAATTGAATTAAGCTGTGCCTCTGGGATTTGAGAGAAGTTCAGAACATTTTTCAAATGTTAGTTCCACAGCTTTGGTATAAAACAAAATGATGTTTTGATGCTGTAATACATGGCCCTCAGTCATCAGAGATGTCTGATAATAACTTGTTTTGATGCTGTAACACATGGCCCTCAGTCATCAGAGATGTCTGATCTCTGTGCACTGTTCTTAATAGGGAACCTAATATGATTATAAACTAATTCCAGTGCAAATTTAAGAGTATAGAGTTTCAAAATGGAGGTAAAAAAAATGTTTGTAGAAGTTGGTCATATTAAAAAAAAAAGTAAAAAAAATTCAAGTAAAACCCAGTTAAAATACCCAAATGAAGAAGGAAAATCACAGAAGGGTCTGGGCTGGAAGGGACTAGAGATCAGTTTGCAGTGCCCTGCTGTGGGACACCTTTCACTGAGCAGGTTACTCAGAGCTCCATCCAACCTAGCCTTGAACAATTCCAGGAACGTGGCAGCCACAGCTTCCCTGGACAGCCTGTTCCAGTGCCTCACCAGCACCACAGTGAATTTTTGTCCTATTACTCAGTCTAAACCTCCTTTAATTTGAAACCATTCCCCCTTGCTCTTGGAAAGGTCTCTCCTCATCCTTACTGTAGGCTCCTCTCAGGTACTGAAGGGCTGCAATTAGGTCACCCCAGAGCTTCTCTTTTCCAGGCTGAACAAACCCAGCCTTTGAAGTCACTTATCAATTATTGAAATTACTTTATTTACTGTTTAACCAGGAAGCAAATGCAGCTGTAGGTTGTTTTAGGGTTTGTTTGGTCCTTCATGGTTAGGACCATACTGTTACACAGCAGTTCTTTTGAGGGTGAGATCCTTTGTAAATCAGTGAGAGTGTTGGGAGTTTATTTCTAAATCCTTGAAGTGTTATTTTTTTTGCAAGACAAGAATAGCTTATTATTTATTTTCAAGTTTTGATATGTAAGTAGTAGACCTATAAAAAAGTATACACCATATATACACAGAATATATTTCAAAGGTGGTATGTAAAGACTGTTCAGCAGTAAGGAACATATTTTTCTTTTTGCTTTTAAAGCTGCAGCAAGCTCTGGTCCAACCTGAGTACTCTGCAAAACAGACTGTCACAGACTAGATGCTCTCAGATTCCATGGTTAACATACGTTAAGAGACAAAAGATCTCCAGCTGGACTGTAAATGAGGGAAAACAACATTCTTTGCTTCCTTCTAAAAACGGTTAATTCTATAAATTCAGATGGTGATATTATGCAATACTCTGCGCAGAGTGGGAGGTGGAACACACATATGCTCAAGTATGTGGCATGCTCTATAAAAAGTAAGTGTGGGAGCCTCTGCAATTCCTATCTCAATTCTTATCTCAGTTGCTAACTTAACTGCTTCCTTGTTCAATCCCCTCAGTCCCTCTCTTCCTTGTCCCTCCAGCCTGTCACACCTCTCCATGTGAAGAGGCCATCTGGACCCGAAACATTGCTCTACAAAATAAACACAGGCTCTTGCTATTTACATGGTTTGTTTGATGTTGCTTGTTTAGACTAACTGTGGCAGGCAAAGGTTCTCTGGGAGTGTAATTGGACTCTGGCACTTGACCACGCTTCAGGGTGTTTCCTGGGACCCCACGCCTCCTGCAAAAAAAAAAAAAAAAAAAAAAAGTGGGCTGCAAAATGAAGACACCCCAAACGAGCTTGTCAAAAAACCAAAAAAAAAAAAAAAAAAGGGGGCTGCAAAATGAAGACACCCCAAACGAGCTTGCCAAAAAAAAAAAAAAAAAAGGGGGCTGCAAAATGAAGACACCCCAAACGAGCTTGCCAAAAAAAAAAAAAAAAAAGAAAAAAAAAAAAAAAAAAACCAAAAAAACCCCCCAAAAAAACCCCAAACCCACAGCTCCCGGCTGTGAGGTACCAGCCTGGGATGGGCCCGCACCCGAGCTCCCAAACCCCAACCCCGCGATGATGTGGGGAGCAGCCGAGGCGCAGGCACAGCCCGCTCCGGCCTCCGGGAGGCCGCGGCTCCCCGGTGCTGCCTCGCCAGCCCCGGAGGGGGGCACGGGCGGCAGCGACCCCCGCCTCAGCCATGAGGGCAGCGCGGAGCGACCCCCCCGCCCTCCCGCCGCCCCCGGGGGCCTCCCGCTCGGCGCGGCCCGGGTGTGGGAAGGCACCGGGGAGGGGCGGGCGGTGCCTGCCCGCGGGGGGAGCGGAGCGCGGAGCCCCCTCCCCCGCCTGGCCGCTGGCTGCCGCCTCTCCCCGCCGCTCGGCCGGCCCGCGCCGCCACCGCCGCCTCCATCTTGAGCGTGTGTCCCCTGCTCCCCCCCCACACCGCCTCCACAGCGCCGAGAGCGTCGGGGGCGCTGGAGCCCCGGGGGGGAGCGGGGGGGAGGTGAGGGTGGTGGGGGGCGAAGCGGCACCGGGGCCGGAGCGGCAGCGGCGGGAGCAGCGGCGGGAGCAGCGGCGGCGGCAGCGGCGATGAGCAGGCGGCGCTGAGGAGGCGGCGGTAGCCGGAGCGGACGGAGCCGACATCTTGTGCCCTCCCCTCCCGCCGCCGGCTGGGTGAGCCCGTCCGCCCCAGGGGGGAGGGGAGGGGGAGGCGGAGAGAATTTAAAAAAAAAAAAAAAAAAAAGGAAAAGGAAAAAAAAAAAAAAGGAAAAGAAAAACAAAAACAAAAATTCCCCCCAAAAGGAGGCGGCGGCAACGGTGGAGAAGCCGCGGCAGCGGCGCGCTGAGCCGGCCAGGTAAAGCTCTGCGCGGGAGGCCGCGACACCCTTCCTTCAGGGGTCTCTCCTCCCTCACACACCCCCGCGCCGGGGTCGCGGGAAGGTGACCGGGCGGGCGGGAAGGAGCTGGGGGAGGCCGGTGCGCCGCAGCCTGCGGGCCTCTCCCGCATCCCTGCTCCGTCTCCGTGCGGCGAGAGCGGCCCGCGGTCCCTCGCTGAGGAGGGGGCAGCGGCGGAGAGCGCCCGGGGACGGGGAACAGGCAGCGCCGTGTCAACCGAGCCCCCCCATCGCCGCCATCTTGGCCCCCCCTTCTTCGCGGCTCGGCGGGGGCGCCGCCCACCTTCTCCCACGCGATTGGCCCAGGCGGGGCCGAGCGCACCCGCCGTTAGCCCCGCGGAGCCTCGCGTTGCTATTGGCGGCGGCGCTGTGATGGACGGCGGCGGCAGCCAATGGCCGCGCAGCCCGGCTGCGCTCGCGCTGCGCGGCCCCGCCCGCTCGCTGTCTCTGGAGGCTGTGGAGCTCTGTGGGGACAGGCGGCCGCGCGCTCGGCCCGGCCGTGGCTCCGTCCCGTTCATCGCCTTCTCCTGGCCCCTTCCAAGGGACGCCTTCATTTCTTTTCAAGGCCCTGCTGTGCCTTGGCTCAGTGGCTGGCTGCTACCGGAGTTCCCCGCGGGGTAGCTCCTGAGAAGAGCTCCCGCCTGTGCCTGGCAGCTGAGGGCATGTCGCCGTTCCCTCAGCTGCGGCTGAGACCCGACACCGCTCATGGCGCACCCCGGCTGTTGCTGGGCCCTGACTTTGTACCTGAAACTTCATCCACCTCGCACCCTCCCCGTTCCAGAGGGGCATCTCCCACACTTGACTTGGTTACAGCAGTATCAGGGCATTGATAAAGACCGAGATCTGTGACATCTCTTGGGCACCGACACATTTCATTGTAGGCATCAATGTTGGTGTGAGGAGCACAAACCCTCGGCAGGTGTGTGAGGGGACCATGGGCAAGCACGGGTGTGCAGAGGGAATCAAAACATTCCTAGGTTGCTGCTTAGAAGTTTCTGTTGTAGACAACAGCACGGTCACAGTGCTCAGCTCAGTTGTCTGAGTTGATTTCATTGCTGCTTTCAAGGCATTTTGGAGCTGTCTCCCCTAATATCCAGGTGTATGTCTCATTTCAGGCACTCAGCTCTCGCTAGCAGCAATTTCCATGCCGTTTTAGGTGCTTCTTCATGGTGCTAAGTAATTGTGTGTTTTACAAACGGGTTGTTTTATGGCAGTTGGTTGCTGTGGTGCAAAGCCCACTTTGGGGTAATTTGTCTAGAAATACACTGATTGTTCCACTAAAGGAGCTCTGCGTGCTTGTTTTTCCCATTAACAGATAAAACAACCCTTTTTTCAGGTGCTTGTTTCACTGAAATTTCCTTGTCCCTCAGCATTCCAAGCAATTGGCTGTTACCTCATTTTTCCTGAACACAATATTAATGATGTGTGTGGGCAGCTCATAATAATTACTTTATCCTCCATGTATCTTTTTGCCGCCAATATCCTCTTTGCTCGTACCAGCCTGAATTGTAACAGAGCTGTTTGTAACACAGCAGGATTTTATTTTTTAAAATTTTTATTGTTATTTTTATTTTATGATCAAGTTACCTTTATAACCTCTTTTTAAAATTCTTTCCTCCTACTGATTGAAGCCATTGGAGTTCAGTTAGGATGAGTGCAGTTGGGTGTCTGCAGTGTGTGGATCAAGTGACTGATTAAAGTTTTAAGGCAAAGGTACCACCAAAATTTGTGGTAGCTATATTTGCAGGTAGAAATTATCATCTTTTATTTTACATGTGAGGTAAAATTGTATTTACAGGCTCCCTCATTATGGGTGTGCATACTGAAACTGGCACCTGCAGCTTATTTCTGTGGATGCAGGGAAGAGTCTGGAAATCTTTCCCAGAGCCTGTTTGTTTCTTAAGACACAGGTGGTGTCATGGCTTAATCTCATGGTTCACAGAACCAGTACTTGAAAAAGTATTGCTCCTGCAATTTGCTCCTTCCTTCTGGAATAAGCCTGGACTTCTTGTAGGTCCTGTGAGATGCTGCTTGCTGTGGCACACAGTTGAGAGTTTCTGGAGCTATGTCACTTCATGGAGCACAAATGCTGCATTGGCTGAGCACAAATTGTGGGTTTGTGGTGTGTTTCCTTGTCTGTGGGTCCCACAGAAAGGAACTGAATGTGGATTGCGTTAAATAAGGGTGAGGTGCTGCTTCAGGCCTCTGCATAGCAACAGATAAGCTCTGGGCTGGCTTATCTTCTCACAGAGAATTTACATTTGCTTCTCTTTGTCTCCTTTCCGACTTCTTTCAGCCTCGGCTTGTTTATTCCCATAAGTCATGTTCCCATCCTTGACTCTGCCCTTCTCTCCTGCATTACTCACTTGGCTTCCCCTCTTTGGCAGCTCCCTCCTTTGCCCTCCGATCACCCAGCTGCTGCCACCATGGCTGAATCCTCCCCCAGACCATCTCCCCAGGCTTCTCCTCTGCTCCCCTCTGACAGGCACCTCCTTAATGCCAGCAGCCGACTCTCAGCTAATTATCTGGCTTGCTGATTAGCAGTTTGCGCGGGCAGAGCTGGCTGGGGCTTTTTGTTAAGGCTCTGAGCAAATGCCATTTCACAGCTCCTGGTGCTGGGAGCTGTCCTGCTGCTTTCCTGCTTGTGGCCCTGTGGACTCTCCATAGCCAGGTGGCTCAGGTGGATGAATGGGAATTGTGGCTCCAGAGGGGCTAACACCAGAGCTCGTAAGTCCACTGGGATCCATGCTGCTTGTTGCCTTTTTATTCCTCATCTGGTTTCTGCTTCATTGCTCAGTTCGTCCTCTGGTTCTGTTTGTGACCCTTGACAGAAGGAAATGCAAAACTGGAGGATGATTTTTTATGATGGGACTTTTTTTGGATCTGCAGTGTCAGAATGGAAGGGTTGGTGGTGGCAGCCCTGAGCTGTGAAACCTGGAGGAGCTCCCTCCTGGACAGAGGGAAAACCATTAGTTTTCTCATCTGGAGCTGACAAAAAAAAAATTAAATTGGAAACTGCATTCATAAGACCTGAATGAATGCATTCCTTTTCACCAGCACATTTGGGGATATAAATGAAAAGTCACAGGAAAAAGAGCAGAGGAGAGCTTGTTGGTTTGTGTGAGCTTAATACGTGAATATTCACATCTTCTTGCACCAATGTTGTTTGAATTTCAGGGGATTTGAATGGTTTGCTGATCTGGGTGCACAGCAGACTGTTTGTATATTGTGCTGTCAAACTATTTGGAGTTTTTCTTACTGGTGGTGTGGTGGAATGTACATCCGAGGTGCAAATAGAGGAAGTTGTGTATTGCTCTGATACACATTGCAGGAAATGGCTGCTGTATCAAATACCTGCCTGTATGTAAGGTGATAGATCAAATACCTGCCTGTATGTAAGGTGTGAAGACTCAGTGAGCCCAAAATTGCTGGAGTCCCTGGTAGAAATCCTCTCTGTTCCAGCACTGAGTGAGTTTTTCAGTCTGCGCTGCTTCTTGCTCGTCTCCTTGTCTCACCCTGCCCTCTGTCCTGTTGCTCCCCAGGGTCTCTGGACCACAGGGATGAGGAAGCCTCGGAGGAGGTGCCGGCAGCACTTGGAGGGGAGGCGTTCTCCCTCGCCCTACAGCCTCAAGTGCTCGCCCAGCCGCGAGACGCTGACGTACGCGCAGGCGCAGCGCATCGTGGAGGTGGACATCGACGGGCGGCTCCACCGCATCAGCATCTACGACCCCCTGAAGCTCATCACCGAGGACGAGCTGACAGCCCAGGACATCACCGAGTGCAACAGCAACAAGGAGAACAGCGAGCAGCCCCTCCTCACGTCCAAGTCTAAGAAAACGCCTTCCAAAGGCAAGAAGAAGGAGTCCTGCTCCAAACATGCGCCAGGGATATCTTTGCACTTGCCCCAGCCCAAGTTCCGTGTGGTGGACTCCTTCAGGCAGCCAGATGCCCCTCCCCTCCCTGCTGCCTACTACCGGTACATTGAAAAGCCTCCCGAGGACCTCGACGTAGAAGTGGAGTATGACATGGATGAGGAGGATCTGGCGTGGCTGGAGATGGTCAACGAGAAGAGAAGGGCTGATGGTTATGGGACAGTTTCTGCTGACACTTTTGAGCTGCTGGTGGATCGGTTGGAAAAGGAGTCGTACCTCGAGAGCCGGAACAACGGGGCTCAGCAGTCCCTCATCGATGAGGATGCCTTCTGCTGTGTCTGCATGGACGATGAGTGTCACAACAGCAACGTCATCCTGTTCTGTGACATTTGCAATCTGGCCGTGCACCAGGAGTGTTACGGTGTGCCCTACATCCCCGAGGGGCAGTGGCTTTGCCGCTGCTGCTTGCAGTCCCCTTCTCGCCCCGTGGATTGTGTCCTTTGCCCAAACAAAGGGGGAGCCTTCAAGCAGACCAGCGATGGCCGCTGGGCTCACGTGGTCTGTGCCATCTGGATCCCAGAGGTCTGCTTTGCAAACACTGTGTTCCTGGAGCCCATCGAAGGGATCAATAACATCCCTCCCGCTCGGTGGAAGCTCACATGCTGTATCTGCAAGCAGAAGGGCATGGGAGCTGCTATCCAGTGCCACAAGGTGAACTGTTACACTGCCTTCCACGTCACCTGTGCGCAGAGAGCCGGTCTCTTCATGAAGATTGAGCCCATGAGGGAGACCAGCATCAACGGCACGACGTTCACCGTGCGCAAGACTGCCTACTGTGAGAGCCACTCCCCGCCTGGCACGGTGAGAAGGGGGTGCCCAGCTGCTGGTGGTGATTGGCAGGAGGTCACTGTGAAGGAGGAGGAAGAGGAGGAAGTCAATTCTGGCCCTCCCAAAGGGTCTGTGAAGAAAAACCAAGTGAAATTGAAGCAAAAGATCAAAAAGGAGCCTGGTGACGTGACCAAAGGGCGCTCGTCCATGCCCGTGGTGACCGTTGCACAAATTCCCTCTTACAGGTGAGTGCTGCAGGTTTAGGGAAGGAGTTGGACAGCTGCAGCTGAACAGGGGCTGTTTTAAGGACTCAGTCCCTCTCACTGTTGACCTTAGAAACACTGAATCTTCAGTCAAGGCTGTACCAATAACTGTTTTCAGAGTGCTCTGCAGCATAACTTGTGGCTGGCTTTCTTCTGAGTGTCACTGTGGTTCTCTGGCTTTGCTGAGCAGCCATCCCAAGCTGTTGTGTAATGCAGGCTCTGTGGTGGTCCCTAATGGCAAACACCCATCTACCTTGAAGGCATTTGTAAAATAC